AGGCGGTCACCCATCCAAGTACTAACCACGCCCGATGTTGCTTAACTTCGGTGATCGGACGAGAACCGGTGTATTCAACATGGTATGGACGTTGGCGAACGTTAAAGCAAATTTAATGTATGGTATCCACAGTTAGACGTCAATTTATATTAAAAGTGTCGTTCCAAATTTTCGTACGATTTTTTTCCGTCTAGCCCCCTTTCACAACGCGCGGTAAGGAACTTCGTTCCAAAATACAAAAAAAAAATGAGGTATGCGACCTTTTTCCTATTAATATACTTGCAATCTTTAATTCCAGACCTCGAAGTGCTCGATAATCGACATTAAGTTTGCTTCTATTACGTAAGTAAAACTTAAACTGTACAAGTCTGATGCCTTTTAAAAAAAATTAAACCGATTCCTAACAACATTAACAAAGAGGACTACAAACCTAGCAGCAATCGCGCTTGATTTGCTATCATTTTTTGAAAAATTTCGTAGTCTGTCTCCGAAACTCATCATCAGATCCATATAAAATTTAAATGGGACCATTTCGGAATAAACCCCTTTCGAACCAAATAAGAAATTTGAAAATCCGTTCATATATGACGGTGTTATGCATCAACATGCATTAAAAAAAACATCCGAATCCGATAACCTCCTCCTTTCTGAAGTCGGTTAAAAAATAATGACAAAATGTGGGCATGTACGCCTCCATCTCCCCCTTTGTGGGTGTAGGTGTAAGTGTAAATACTTACCACTATTAATATTTTTATAAAAAAGAATTAAGTCATAAATTTTATGGTATCCACAGCCATAAATAATATCGAACTTAGATTTAATATCCGAGATAAAACTATTTTTGTCATTTTATACAACAGATGAAGTTTCAGTGTTATTTATTGGCAATTGAGTCATAAAATCGTTTTATCTTTGATAAGATAGTAGGTAGAAGTGAAATATGTTTGTAATTATTGAAATGTTCGACTATTATAGAGGAAGTAAATAACTTATAAGAAAATACTGTCTATTATGTGTTAAGATCAGCTTTAAACGTGCTTTTACATAACTGGCTTAGTTCAAGTAATGATAAAAATAGGAATACTTTGATTAATACGTAAACAATCATAATTATATGAAAAAACGAACATCTTGGTATTACTATTTCTTCCATTCCTGATAATGAAAAATTACTAAAAGAACGGCCCGTTGACTGAGTGGTCAGAAATAGTGACTTCTAAGACAGAGGTTGCGGGTTTAATTACCACCCAGGATAAATAATTGTAAATAATAAAGGTTAAAAAAAACAACGAAAGGCTTCGCCAAAAAGTAGTAAGGTAGTGCCTTTGCGCTTCTAGATAAGAATGATCTTGAAATAATCCTGAAAACAAATGATTTACCTTGATTTACCAGCATAATAAATTCAGATCTAAAGTAATTTGTCAATGTGATTCTCAACTACTAGTTCATTGCCAACACTTTTTTTTTTTTAGAGGGGGGTAGACGAGTAGACGGGTTACCTGATGAAAAGTGATCATCGCCGCCCATGAACGTCTGCAACTCAGGAGTAAAAAACGCGTTGCCGGCCTTTTAGGGAGGAGTACGCTCTTTTCTTGAAGGTTTGAAGGTCGTATCGGTCCGGAAATACCGCAGATTTCTTTTATTTATTTTCTGATCATCACACACACACACATCTCAAAGGAATTCAACGCATTTATGTCTCTTGCACTGTAGGTGTTCATTCATTAAACTTTTATAGGGTTCTTCTGAGAGGAAGAATAGCCTAACTTACTCCTTATATAGACAGCTATCTGGTAGTAAAATATTATTAAAATCGGTCCAGCCGTTTAGAACAAACCGACGACAGACAAAAAAAATTGTTTTTTGGCATAGGTATCGAGCATGAAAAAAGCCATTATTTTGACATTAAAAATAGACACTAATTTTATTTATTTGTACAGATTAGATTTAAAAAAAAATTGACGATGAAGAGAAATATATTTGAATGGAAAATTTTCAATTTTTTCTTTTTCAATTTTCAAATTTTCTCCAAATTCTCTGATGAGCGTCGATGACTGTTACACAGTTTTTGATTTAATTTTCAAGTGTGGGTAACATTCATGTAATTAACCCGCTCAGATCATATGCACTTGTTTTTATTTGTTTTAGGGAGTTTAAAATGCCATTATCTTTGTGTTGTAATTTGCAAGTTTTATTAACATCAAGACTTGAAGAATTTGGAACTGTTCTATACTCGAATGTGTTTAAATTTTGAATGTCAAAACAGTTGTTGAAAGTCAACATTGAAAGTATTAGGATTAATGCTATTGTTTAGTCACAGCGTCGATTGGAATCTGTCAGGTTACGAACGAAAATGATTTCTTCTAAGGAAAATGTTCGTGCAATAATTTTCTACAACTTAAGAAGAGGTCTGACACGGCTTCAGTGTTTTGAAGAGCTTACATCTGTGTTCAGTGAAAAAGCCCTATGTCTGCAGACTGTCGAACGCTGGTATTTAGAATTCCAGCGTGGACATACTAGTGTTAGTGACAAATCTCGCGAAGGACGCCCAAAATCCAAAAAAGATAACATCATTGCTGTGAGACAACTAATTCTCGAAGATCGTCATGTGACGTATCGAGAGATAGAGGTTCTATTAGGCATCTCAGGGACAACCATTCACAAGATCTTGCACGAACAACAACACTGCAAAGAGAAGGAAAACTTGACACCAACTCGTCTAGCCAGCGTGGTATAGTAGGCCAAAGCCTCCTTTCTAAGGAGAGGCCCGATGACTCCTGCAGGAGACTCTACGGGGGTTGTACGATCCATGGCCCTTTATGGGGACCCAGTATGGGCTGGGGCCCTAAAGGCCAGCATCGTCGCACTACTGCAAAGACCGCAGCGAGTGCTGGTCATTCATAATGACTGGTTTTGTTAGCCACTTATTAGATTATACACTTAACAGACACAAACAATACCCAGACTCAGGTCAACTGCGTGTGTATTGTACCAAAATCTGTTTTTTGTAGGAATCGAAGCAACAACATTGGACATGGCTCAGCGGAAACCAAGTCTTTGGGTAATGTGGTAATCATAATTAATAGTAATTATATTAAGTCGTTTTTGGGACTTCCGTGTACTGAATAGAGATTCAGTAATATGACTCTGAGTCTCGAAGTAATCTTTTTAACAATGGGTAATTTCCCTGTGGAGATAGATCCAATCCGTCCGTCCATCCACGGATAGAAATGATAAAGTCCTGTCTTGAAGTCGAAAGCAGACTCTTTTAATAAATGTAAAAAAAATGTATTGCATACATTTTAGTATCTTTCTGTACTTTTGTTTTTTTCTCTTAGTGTACAATAATTATTAGCCGTATAATTATTAATTATTCAAGCCGGTTAGACTACAGAATGTATACCATAGAATTATACTTACATATGCTCAAAAAATAACTGTCTTTCACGCGAATTCGCGTAACAAGTTAAGTTACCGAAGGACTTTCTTCGAAACTTGCTTAATCCTGATTAATATGAACAGCGAAATTTATAGGCTCACTACTTACTATAGAATACTTTAATTCAATTACTTACTACTTTCAAATTTGCATATCAGTTATATTCTTACGTTTTTAATCCTATGTAAAGACAGCAATGATTTAATTCTATCCACTCTTAAGCTCAAAAGTTTGTAACACCATGGGTATTATGCGCGGGATGCCGAACACGTAAAACCTTTTAATGCCCCTTTTATAGAACATCTTAAAGCAAAAATAAATGATCGAATATCGATCGGTCTACGATGTATGGTGCGGTCTTCACACAAGACAATATCGTGCAGTAGCTTCTGTTCTAGCAGTCGAGTTTTTCGGTCTCAACATAACGGAGTTCTATTTGAGCTTTTACTAAAATTAATAAAATACTGTAGCATGGATGGATACGGACTGCCCAAGATGGTTAGCGCTCCTTGGGTTGGATGGTTTTACGCCTTCATTCAGCAATTGACGGCAACAGGTTGATGATGATGACTGTTATATCATAATGTCCTTGTTTGTATGGTACAGTCCGCTCGCACTTATTCCTTACAAATGGTAGTGAATTCATAAATAAGTAAGTAATAAGAACTGAATGGTTTTGAATAAGATGTCAGATCTTATTGTTGCTTGCGTAAGTCAATCCAATGATTTCTTGGACTTCCATACACCAAATATACTTTAAATACACTTACAGTCGGTTGATGGTCGAATTTCGCTCATAATATTTTTTTTTCTTTATATTATTAGTCCGTATAAGTTTAACTGACATTTTACAAACTCAGTATGTACTCGTATACAGGACGATAATGAAGAACGGGCATACGTTCTTCATTATCGCTAGAGCTACACACACAATCTAGAGCTTGTGCTGTAAATTATTAAAGAGAGAGACTTTAAGTCCACTTCTCTAGGAATGGACTTAGTCTCTTTAATAATTTCTTAGATAGTACTGCCATCTGTACCTACGAGATGGTTACTACATACTACAGCTGCTATTAGCGGCATATTTGAAGGATACACTAGATGGCTACAAACTAAGAAAATATGCGCTCAGATGGAAAAAAATTTGAATTGGTATAACATGAATGTCCAAATTTAAATAAATGTGCTTATGTCGAAGAGTTGGTATTCCTAGAATCAGGTTGTTTTTTTTTAATTCTAACAAATTGCTACTCTTGCATGGCGGTGAATAAAGTAAAGATAATAAATATTTGGTATACATAATATTAACGCCGCCAATAATTTTAATAACAGCATTTAATAATAGATGGCGGTATTCAAGATTTTTTTTTACCGCTGTTATGAGTTGTCAGATGGCGTTGTATCCTTAAAACAGAATAAAAGTGCAGCAATACTTTAGAAAATTTAAATTAAATTGTTTACCATCAATCGTTAAAATTAAACCCATACTTTGACTTAAATTGAGTAGATGTAACAGTAATTGATTTCTCCATTTGTATAATAAAATTCTCTTGAATTATTATCAATTATTATAATCAACTGGTTTTCTTGAATCATACCCAAAAACATCTAACAAAAATTGTCTATATTCTTCTGCTTTAACCGAGTATATAATTCTAACGTTAGCTTTTTCTTTTGAGACAAATTTATTCGTTGTTATTCCTCTTCCATCACCTGCAAAAGGAATGATATGAATTAATATTACCTAATATAGGTAAAGGATAGAAATGTACTACAATGTATCACTGCAGTCCTATGACGCTGCAATAAAAGAACCACAGATACGTAGATAACTTGTACGATACCTTAACATATGAAATCATATTTAAAAATAAAAGTTGACTACATAATTTTTAGCAAATTTTATTCATAGCAAAGTAAAATTTGCTCTACTCTGCAATTTTCTGTAGTCTCTCGACAATGGTTTTTATTAATAAGTTGCCAAATCTTGCAAATAGTAGTAGTGGTTTCATTCATTAAAGTGAGGTCACTTTAATAGGTAACATTTGACGTCTGTCAGTTTTATCTTCATAGTGAGGTGACCAGCTTAAAAACATCGATTAAAGTGAATGAATCGATACGGACTTGAAACATATGTGAATTTAAAAAATCATCAGACGAATCCCTGTCCCATTATTATTTTTTCTTTCGTAAATTTAAAGAGCAAAATAAGACAAGTACATAATTTAACATAAATATTGCATTTATTCAGTTGACCTATCAGAACTGTTATTAGTATTGTCATCTTCATCACTACTGTCAGCACTCAGAGATATTATTAATTCATTTTCAATAATATTGTCTATTCTCAGATCTCGTTCAAAATCTTGTAAAATTATTTTCTTTGTTTTCTCTACGACTTTTCTCCAGTCTTCTGTAGTGACTTCTGCACACGCAGTCATCATTTTAGCAGTACTGAAGGGTGGTTCAGTATTGTTCCGCGCTGCATGTCTCTTTATTTCCAAATAAGCTCGATGGCGTTATACTGGCAATGGTAGGGAGGCAATCGAATAACTTCGTGTCCATGCTCTAGGGCCAGTTCATCGATTACAAAGCGAAGCTTGGACGGCTTAGTTGCTTTTACCAGATTTAACAACTCAACTTTTAATAAAGTTGGACTTGCATCCACACCATTTCTTACCAGCCACGAGAGAATTTCTTGCTTTTAATTTACTTGAGTTGGTGGTTTATCAACTAGTACAGAATGATACGGTGCATTGTCCATCATAATTTTCGATGGGTTTTCTAAGCTCACTAGCAACTTCTCAAACCACTCTTTAAAAACCTCAAAGTTCATTTCCTCATGGTAATCGCTTGTAGTTTTAGAGGCAAATGCGAGGAGACAGTCTGGAATAAAACCTTGAGAAGCTGATCCCGCATGACATATAATAAGTTGGGCTCCTTTTCCCGATGGAACTTTTGAGGTGGAGGCCGCTGTATCATCGGTCCATACGGTTTCGCGGACATGCGAAACCGTATGGTTCGCATTCAAACATGTTTCGTCAATAAACACGACATTGTCCCAATCTGTAATTTTATTTACTTGACGTAAGAATGTTACTCTCTTCAAAATAATATCGTAGCGTTTTAGCAGGATTTTCTGCTTGTCAGATTTTTTAAATGTAAAGCCAGTCGATTTCAAAACCTTTGATAGAGACGATTTACCACCAAAAAATAAGCCTGCGTCTTTTAACGACCTCATTAGCTTTTCCCGTGTAGGATATTCTTTTCTCGAGTAATATCCATAAATGTGGTTGCGAATTGCTGCAGCATCAAAATGATCAACGCCAACAATTTTCTTGTCCCCCTTTCTTTTTTTCGGTGTACGCAAAGTATTATCTTCTGAGCATGATGGTCCGTATTTCTCTTTCAGAATTTCAGTTACTGTCCTCTTCCCTATTCCCAATGCTTCGGCAACGCGTTCTCTCGGTTGTGTCAATGGTAAAAGAGGCCCATCGTTAACTGATTCACGTTCAAAATAATTGTACAATTTCACCACTAGTTCGCGAAATTTACTGTTTAGCGTTTTCCCCCGTTTTAACATGGTAAGACTGTAATGTTGTTCTTGTTTACTAATCGTTAAGCAATCGGAATCCAATTTATAGCCAGGTAAACGTAGTCAGTAAGATCAGTCCAATAAAAAAGCCGGGTCAGAAGAAAATAACAGAGAGCACACCAAAAACGCACAGTCACTTCGCACAACGACAAAAGACTGAGTCATGTAATGGCGACATGACATGGCGTCATCGACAGGCACTGGTGTTGTAAAGTATAGACAACTAATGTCAAATTGGTGAACTGGTGCTGTTGTCTATGGCTAAGAGGCGTTGGTCGTCTATTGTAAGATTTCATTTGTAACAAAAATAGAAACCGCTTACTGATTTCTCAAATGAACGTTTTATTACGAACCACAACGTTACAGGTGTTACCAGCAATATCTCAAGTAAATTGTACCTAATATCAATGATTTTTCTATTTAGTTATGTTTTTGTATTTTTATAGTTAGTTAAAAGAATAATAAATATAATAATGTTTTATTATAATCACAACGTGGTTATTGATTTATGGTGATATTTCTTCACAAGTAATCATTGCATTCGATTCTACTTATCAGCATTCGATTTTTAGAGTAACATCCCTAGCGTTTAAAATGAAAAAGTGTTAACTGACGCAACATTGTAACAACATTCAGTTCTTTAGATCAGAAATTGTTAATTATGTTTAGAATGGTTTATTAGTGAAAGCAAATCGTAAAATTACTCGTATCGGTCATTACACAATAAATATGTAATAGTAATTAAATAAACCCTTTTTAAAAAAAAAGTTGAACCGACTTCAAAAAACACCGACAAAGAGCACTAAAAATTAAAAAATAATTACAAATCTAAGTAAAAAACTATAATAAGTACCCTCAATGTAACAGGTAACATTATAATACCAATAGTCCCTTCTAGTCAGTTTGAAGTCGGTGCCAAGCCAAATAGGTGCTTGATAGGCATGGTAGAATGTAGCGCGGCAGCTGCAACAGTCTTCATGCTGCGCAAAACATGATGAACGAGCTAAAGTGGACGCACATCTCCAATTATATTATTATTTTGAATTCTTTAATAAGTAGTTGATAAGTTTGCGCACGTAATTGATCTGGTTGGTCTTTATTAATTAACAAAATCTTCGATGTTTCATTAGAATTATTTTGAATTCTTAATTTTTCATTGTGCTAATATAAAGCTGACATAGACCAGTATTACTTATTGTACATCGAGCTTGGCACCGACTTCAAACAGACTAGAAGGGACTATTGGTATTATAATGTTACCTGTTACATTGAGGGTACTTATTATAGTTTTTTACTTAGATTTGTAATTATTTTTTAATTTTTAGTGCTCTTTGTCGGTGTTTTTTGAAGTCGGTTCAACTTTTTTTTTAAAAAGGGTTTATTTTACCATTTTTAGTGTAGGATATGAAAATGACATTGGCGTCCAAACTGATCAAGATCAGCTTAAATTCTTTTCTAAGAAACAGTCAAATTCTTGTGAGTTGCAACCGAACAAAATAACTTCCGATTCAATTGACACTGATCACGAAGGTGAAGATAGGGAAGCTTTAGTGAGACTACTCAACAAATATGATCAATATTTTATAGAAGGAGTTCCAACTAGAAGGGTTAATACTAGTATGTTAGAAATTAACCTAGTTGACCCACCCAAAATTTAAGAGTTTTTTCCAGAACTATTTTAATAAATTAAGTATAAAATTACTTACAAACGAAATGCGATGCCATCCATAGCAACAAAACGTCTATCCGAATTATTTTAACAAGATAGAATACAAAATTTCAACCTTTTCTTCTTAATACAACGAAAATTACTGTGGTGACATAAATACTGCAAGTTCTCTGCGCATCACATCGCGCAGTCTCTGACAGTTGCCATGGTTTGTTTGGCTAAAGAAATACTCGTAGCTAAAACACGTTGTCGGGGCTGTCAAATTCCCAATAATTGTGAGGGTTTCACTCGATTTCTCTAGGATCCCATTATCAGATCCTGAATTGGTGGTAATGGGACCAATTCGGGAGCATACCCTTTCGATTACAAAAAGAATTTTGAAAATCGGTCCACAATTGACGAAGAAATCGCGTAACAAACATACATAAAAAAAAATACAAACGAATTGAGAACCTCCTCTTTTGTGTTTTGGAAGTCGGTTAAAAAGAAAACATACTGTCGAATCAAAAACCCTCCTTTTTTGATGTTGGTTAAAAATCGACTAGCATGAAGCTCCTAGTCGAGACGAATCAAATGAGCACAAACACGGCGGAATTGCTTTATTTTATTACATAGTTAGTACCGTCTCCATCATCAGACCCTGAATATCACATAGGATCGGAGTTCTTATTAATTAGACTCAAACACATTCAAATTCGATGGTATTACATAATTTTGTTACAGAGATCCCATACTCCTAAACCATTCATCAACAGCTTCATCATCAGCTCAGCAACATCAGATGGTGACCATTAGATGCAAAAATCTACATAGATTAAGATAATTTCTGATAAACAGTGTATATGCCTACAAAATTTGAGGGTTTCCCTCGATTTCCCCAGGATCCCATCATCAGATCCTGACCTGGTGACAATGGGACCACCTCTGACGTATGACCTACCAAATAAAAAAAGAATTATTCAAATCGGTTTATAATTGCCGGAGTAATCGCGTAACAAATATACAAAAAAATAAAATAAAAAAAAAACCGTCGAATTGAGAACCTCCTCCTTTTTTTGAAGTCGGTTAAAAAGGTGTGCAGTTCTAACAAAACGAAAAAATATATCATTTTATGTCCGCCGTTACAAGGTTACGTTGTTGAATTTTGATAAATTGTCAAATGTTACCTATTAAAATGACCTCACTTTAGTATTTCATTTCAGGTTGTATTTTATTAAGTGTTTATGGTAGCTACTAACATTAGATATACCTAACTGACAAACATTACTTAAATATATTAGTCAAAAACTTACCACAGAGTATAATGTCATTTTCTGAATACTTGTATTCATTAACCAAGTCTGGTCTGAGATAGAAAGTGACAACTGCTGGGTCCAGACTTTGCCACGCAACGTCATTTTTGAGTGATACTCTCTCAAATCTGTTTTGATTTGCTATTATTTCAGTTTCAATGGCACCAAATGTGTTAAATCTCCATTCCTGGAATTTGAAAAAATCTCATATTATTACGAGTTTTACCATCATTATAATTTCCTTCAGCCGCAAGAGGTTTTTGCTGGTTTCTTCATGACCGGCTGCTGACACCAGTCAAGAGTTATGTTGTCTGAATATTCACCAGACAGGATAAAGGAAAATAGTAAATATGGGAAAAAATGGATAGGACTACCAAGTAGCTTTAAGAAGCCGGAGTCATGTCCCCGCATGTCATCCTATGCTTATAAATCAGCAGCATTTACTTTATGTATGTGTAACGAAGAACAATAAAATATAGGTCTTTATAAACTATATAAAAAATGAGTAACTGCTCATATTAGTTCTTTTTTTTTTGTTATGCTACAGTTGGTAAGTTTGTACAAAATTCTGAGTAATTTATAAAAAAATTAGACTCTCGGGCTTATATTAATAAAAAACTCCTTGAAAAGAACTTGATTAAAATTGACGATGAAGGAAGAACCATTAAATAAATCGATCCCAGAGACTCCCACTCACTCTACTCTTGTAAGTTCCAGAACAATATTTGTCTGAAAAAAACAGCCGCAGACTAAACCAAATAAAACTGCGATGAACTAACCCAGCCTAGTGCGACTGCCGAAAAAGAAAAGAGCAGTCAAAGTGTGGAATTATAATTCTTGGTGTATCGACAATAAAACATTAAGAATAACACTTAAATAATAACTAATATCACTTTTACTTTATTTTACATACCTTTGTAAAAGTTAAATATTCGTCTATTAGCGAAAACGGTACCATAGTTACTTTGTCAGGATTCGCGTTTTGAACCACTATACGATATGCTTCGGCATCCACTCTTGCGTTAAACTCTGGTCGTTGATGTTTTCCGGCTTATGTAAAAGCAAAAAAAAATTTTTTTTTGTAAATGTTTAAATAACCAGGCATTAACCACGAACTTATCCTAGCTGTTGTGCTATACTAGACTACAATGTATATTTGTGTCAACTTTGACAAGATTTGATCAGCCCTTCTGGAGTCATTAAATAACAAATATCTGTACATACATCCTCACAAATAATATTATCTCTCTCTTAATTTACGATCCAAGCTCTTGTCGGTTTAGCAATCGCCACCCTCTCTATTTCCTGCGATCTCGACGACTCCCACATTCTCCTTCATTTTGCCTCTTCTGTTTGCAATGGCATTCAAATACTATCAATGGGACATATTGTTTTACGTGCATAACATACATACATGTCTTGATCTTGATAGGGTTGGACAGAGGCCTATTAAGCACTCACATATTGTTGATTATAATTATGTCCTACTAGATTTTGCCCGCGGCTCTAGCCTATGTTATTCGATGATAATCACATCAACAGCTTTTAATAGTTCACTGTTGGACATAGGCCTCTCCTTAGAAGAGAGGTTTTGGATTACTACATTACGCAGACGGGTTGGTATAGGATTTGTGTCAAATTTGCCTTCTCTTTGCAGTGCTGTTGTCCGGCAGACTTTGCTCCCTTAGTCGGTTCCTACGACACCCACGGGATGAATAGGGGTGGTGAGACTACGAATTCATAATCCGTCGCCATAATGTAGAATTATATATATATATACATACAAAATTATATTCATACTTACAGTGAACAGTCCCAGCACCTACATACAAATGTTTAAGACGTCCTAGAAAACCGGGATCCAGCGTCATTGCTATTGCCACATTTGTTAAAGTTCCAATAGTAATAACGGTCAAATTTCCTGTAAAATAAATTCAAACTCAATAACAATCGAAATTTTAAGAATTGAATTCATTATCTGTGTTTGCACACCTTCATAAAGCTTGGAATAGTCAATTAGAGCTGAAATAGCACTTTGATTGGCTGCTGGAACCAAGTCTGTAACAATATCGTCGTTGTCTCCTAGGCCGTCCTCACCGTAGTAATGCATATCGACCGGAGTGTTCGATAAAGAGTTCTTAGATCCTCTGTAGATTGGTATCTAAAATCATAAAAATGGTTACCGTTTTTTTTATCTTATCTATTTTTAGTCTGCTTTATATCTTATAAAATTCTAGATTCATGCTAATATCGAATACTTCTTCAGTTAGTGCCTTGAGAATAATTTGACTATTGTATGACTAGTGCAGATAATGTAATGATACTACGCTGGCTTATTTAATGCATATTTTAGCATATTTTCAGAGGAAAAATGGATCACTCATATTAACAGTCTGACAAATAGGTAACTCAATATTAACGGCCTATTACTACTCATACTATTCATACGTAGGCCGGCCCGTTGGTCTAGTGGTTAATAAATCTGACTTATCAGTCAGGGTCATTATCCACTAGACCAACAGCCGGAGATCATAGGCTCTGTCCAGTTTCAGATCAGACGGCCGTATGTGGATGAAGATGTGTGAGGATATTATTTTAATATATAGTTTTTCATAGATACTATTAATCCAGTTAAGCATCGAGCATTCGATGATGTCTGATTACCATGTAAATATTCAATGACAACAATTTATAATTGCGGTTTTATATTTTGAATCCTAATTTTTTTACCGTTATATTGATTATGTTGCTGAAATGCGATAACTGTTTCAAACTTACTTCCGTTCTGTTGGCGATCTTCAGAACCTTCTGGTTATTATGACACACGTTGTCTTCATTTGTATTTCCATTTACTGTAGTCAATGCCGCTAAATGTGGCCTGAAAATTACATTTGCTTTACTTTAATACAATTTTCTATGATCTCCAATATACTTCAATAAAAAGTTTTGAAGTTATTTACAATTTAAAACACAATTACAACAATTAACAAAACAAATATTGTTGTTCTGAAGGTTAACTCAGTCATTCGTATGTATTTCCTGAATTTATTATTGTTCTCCTTATTGCATTCAATTACTCATAAAAAACATTTGTTTTTTTTTGTATTTAAAAAGCAATACTTGCATTTAAAAATATATCGCCGGCCCCGGAGAATAAAATGGTAATCGCAAAAACTTAACTTTTCAGGAAAAATAAAAAAACAGTTTTTGTCTATAACTTGTCTGATAATAGACTTAGATAATCCAAAAAGGACTCAAATGAAAGCTAATTTTTGAAGCTTTTAAACTATTTTAACAAGCCTTTAATTCGATCAATCAAATTCAAGATATTCAAAATTTAAGAAGTTAGTAAAAAGATAAAGTTAGCGTAATTTAGTATTACACACTTATCATTTTGTTCTCTTCATTTTATTACAAATTGAATATTGTAATATCCTATTACATTGATATTCAATTATTTGACAGCGCTAAATTATGGAAAAATATAGTATCTTACCATTTTATTCTGGTTCATACGGGATATCAATAATGAGACAATAAAACTTAGGGCTATTATTCTGGTTAAGCAAATAAAATAAAGTTATGTTAATCAGATTTTACTTAACTTTAAATGCACAAGAAAATTTTTAAAAAGAAATTAGTCGTCCTGATTTTCATTATCAATAAATCTATGGCTTTCAGAATTACTACTTTCATAAGTCAGAGATTCGTAGAAAGCATGGTAGAAAACTGGGATCGCTTCTGATCTACACAAGCTCATAAGGTCATCGTGTAAAGCCTTACTTGGTTTCAAAGGTTCCTTATAAGCCACATTCAACTGAAAATCACTGACAGAACCTGGTGTAATAGGCGCTGTCTGTTTCATACCTCTCTTGCTTCTAGCTTGTTTGACATTCTTGTTTGACACTGTTCGACATTAAGTTGAGAATACTCAGCATCAAAATCATATTTAAAGCGTAGAATAGATGGCTGTGAATGTAAAACGTTTACTTCCATTACCTTAGACCACATTATTTTCTGACCTTCTTCATTATTGACCCAGTTCTTGTTTTTTATCAAATCCTTTATGTTAAAGAACTCATTTTGTAACATTTCCTTCACAATATATTTCTCGCCGTTGATTTTAGCATTCATAATGATAGCATAAATCTGTTCGGTGTATATATGACCCTGTGTTTTAATTCACGTTCAATACTAGAGTGCATGGAATCGCCTTCACTCTGGCCATGGCCTGTTTCGAAAAATCTATGTGTTATATTTATTTGAAGTTTCTGAGCAGCAAAAATGTATAAAGCAAATATAAATCTGTTTTTGTTTTGTCCTGCACAACCATCTGAGTATAAAAAAATGTTTTTCATACCTCTTTCCTTCCCACTTAAGAAAAATTGCCACAGGCAGCTTCCTATTTCTATTGCTCCTCTTTTTGCAATTGTTTGGTGCTAGACATAGCAGTGACCTTTAAGTCTAGTACTATCAAAAATAGTAAAGTTGTAAATAGGATATTTCCTCTTATAATGAAATATTCCAACTGCAGATTATGGAATATTTAATACCTTCTCTAAATTGAAGATTGCTAAGGTTGTATGTGAAGGATCAATGGATTCCTATTCTTCTTTTTTAATTTGACGTACTCGATCTTTGCTTCTTTGGTGTTTGTCATACTTATCTTGCAATGTCGCTTATTGAACAGAATCAGCTTCTCTGTAAAGAGTGCAAGTAGAGCATTGGTCTTTTTTTGGTTTAAAAAATGAATAATTGAACTTGGTGTTAAAAATGTTTTCATATTGCCGTTTAGAAGCTATCGGGCAGTTATAATTTCTCTCTTGGAACCGACTTTGATAAAGACGGTACTATTTACTCACATTAAGTAGCTCTGATAGATATTGTGTCTGGCAGAATCTTTTCTTATATAATGTGACTCGACTACAGGGAACAATTGAATGTGTTGGATGATATTTTCCTCCACTTTTAGAAGCATTTTACGTGGCCTGTTATTATGGTGCCCTCTGTTATCAACTAAGCCTTTGTCAGATTTGACTTTTTCTAACGCCGTATAAACTGTCTGATGCGAAAAACTGAATTTAAAATGAAAGAAATATTTGAAATGGTTGAAGCCATTTTGGAAATATCATGAGTGGCTGCTTTTATGTAATCAGAGTCTCCACCAATACTTGATGGTGTTTTAATAAACCGGTTTGGGCTTGGCACATATTCAGAAACATCTGGAGAAAAGTCTTCATTAACTTCTTTATCGTTATTTTCACAATATTGTTTTTTTGTTGATTCTGTAAGACAAGATAAGAAAAAAATCATCGAATATCTCATTAAACTACCTCAAACTATGATAGGCCAAACTGGTTCAGCAGGTCAAAAAAGTTACGCTGTAGTTCAAACTTACTTCCTCCACCTGCGGGTTTTTACCTTGACCTGGCGGAGGGGGCTCAGTAGTCGTGAGTTAGAGGATGGCAACTCTTAACCCACGTTGAAGCTAACGGGAACCATAGAAGAAGCTGCTTCGTAAATTATGTGAAAATAATAATATTATTTTAATTTTGCAGACATGATAAAACATATCTCTCAAGTACTCATAGCTCTCAAGCAGGTCATGCAAACATTTGGTCCGACCCGGGAATAGACCCCGATACCTCAGAACAGCAGTCGCATACGCTACTACTGCAAATCCGAGGCAGTCAAGTCTCCCCAATACAGAGATTAATTATAAATTTTTAATGAAATCAAAATAATAAGAAGGAAACCACAGTACTTACCGTCGTTGCAATGGTTCAGATTCGCGAGCTTTCTCTTAATAATATATTATTTATCCTCAAATTCCTTTGATTCATATTAATATACCTATATTATGACGAGGAAACTGTTTTCTGATTATTATACAGCCAACTTTAAGATAATATTAATTGTCTTAATACAATCACATTACGCACGATAATTACTTTTATTATCTTGAAATCTTTTGAAAACGGAATTATGATACTCATGTAACGAAGTTTTAAGAGACAGTAATCAAGTAAACAAACATTGGCACGTGCGAGTATTTACGCGAGATGGTGTATAGTGTCATCACTCACTAACATTTGAATCACTATGTTCACTAAGGTAATGTTAGTCGCTGCACTTAAAAGCTTTTGAACGAGAATAAAATGATATTGGCGTTTATAATTTTATCGTTGATTTCTTGCACGAGAATATAAGTGTAAAAGCTATTGCTATTTATTGTTTAATGAAACAATCATATCAATAGTGTCTGGTAATCTTATTCGCGTTAATGTGCTCCTCAGAAAATTGGACGAATAATATTGTAATATTTTATAACTTTGTGAATAACGATAGAAAAATTACGAAAAAAATTGAATGGATGTATTGGGCTCTGTAGACTCCAAATATGACATAACACTAAAACTATTGTAATGTCAGTTGTCATTTTATTCTACATATATATATATACATATAGATATATACATATTTGAAAATATTAAAAAAATTATGTCTTATCGGTTGCAGGCACCAAGCTACCGTTGGTTCCGGTTCCAGTAGCAGAAACTGAGATGTACTGCTTTTTGTATCAGGCCCTGAATCCAGTTGCCTAATGTGAGCCTCTGGAGGTGTTGGTCGAGGCTCTAAGCAATCAAGCAATGGGTGATATGACTATAGGCACAATGATGGCAGAATCCACATTTCACATTTGGATAAGCTCGTGGGCCACAATTATTATTATTAATAATAATAATGTTATTTTTATCTACATTAAAAATCATAAAGATTAAAAAATCTATATGAAAATCCCACCCTTAATATTTTTCAATTTTATGTTAGTTAAATTTATTAAACTAACATAAAAGTCTATGATACGAAATATGAAATTATGATAACCTAGCTACTAACTAAACTAACTAACTGAACTCTGAACTGACTCCTTTTGGTCGTAGCGTGCAGTCATAGGCGTGCGCCTATAGCCTGCCTCGATAAATGGGCTATCCAACTTTGAAATTAGTGCGTTTGGCCAAACAAAAAAAAACCCGTCAGCTATTATTATTAATTTAGATATCATCTTGTCATTCCTTTTTATATTTAATTCTGGGAATATCACTAATTTATTATACCACTGTATAATTATTTAGATAGTTGTAACACTAACCCGTCAAAATTCTTCTCGTACAACAAAGTAAGGAATATGGCCATAGCATCATCTCCGCCCGCATCATTGTCTATTATGATTTTCTCTTTCACCACATTTTGACTGTAACGTAATTTTTCATTTATTTATAAAAACAATATAAATTGTAACCACACAAAGCAAACACTTAAATAAAATTATTTAACAAACATACCAATTTACACTGAATATAATAAATATACAAGGTAATAGAAACTTGATCATTATAAAAGCGTCTGATTATCCTCGACTTTAATCATCTACTGTTCAATGTTGTGTAGTTCTCGTCTATTAAATAAGTTAAGTGACGTGCTATACTATAATATATCTTATAATTCTTTTTTTGGATTATATTCCGTTCAATTATATTCAGAGATCTTGCTAAAATATTTTTTACAAATTAGTAAAATTCAAGTACATTATACGAGTATTTGTGCATCAGTTACGTAAACCTTGACATGGATAATTATCCAATAGTCCAGGTATAGTTAGTTTATAAACTCGAAAGCAATGAATTCGGGTCAGATTGTTTTTTTTTTTCTTTTTTTTTAAAGACAACTCCCGCCTTAGGAATATATCCTGTGTCGCGAGGGACTTTCCAAACATACATGAAACGGACACAAAGAGCACCCAGACTCAGAACAACAATTTGTGGATCACACAAAGTGTCGTACCATATGGGGTTTGAACCCACAACACATGCGATTTGCAGACAACATAGCAATCCTGGCGAATCTCTGCATGACCTGGAAGAAATGCTTAACAGCCATGATGAACATGAACATCATCTTGTTCTTATTGGTAAGATATCATCATGTATAATAGACATGTATCCCCAAGTACCGTGGCTGTAAATGGTGCTACTATCGAGGTTCTGCAAGAATACGTCTATCTTGGCCAAAATATTCAATTTAGCCGTCACAACCTCGATCGGGAGGCCGATTGAAGAATTCGTCTGGGCTGGGCAGCATATGGGAAGCTTCGTCATATCTTCGAGTCAGTGATCCCGCAATCGCTAAAAACTAAGGCGCTTAACCAATGCATCCTACCCGTAATGACATACGGAGCCGAGACGTGGACACTCATCGTTGGACTGGTCCACAAGTTCAAAGTCGCTCAGCGGACGAGGGAGTATTCGATGCTTCTCTAGTCATTCCATCAATGTCTCTTTTACATTTTTTAATTTCATTTGGTACATATTTAAAATTTTGTTTGAATTATTGTACAAATAAGCTGCCTGCACAGTAAACTGTCTCTTAGCAAAAATAGATTTGCAACCATTAACTTTCACAACGGCGTAACTTCGTCTAGTTTTAAAACGTTAGGGTTATAAGTTAATGTTTTATGGATTTTGAATATGGATTTCAAACACAAAGTTTTCTTATTGTCAGGACGTTAGCCCTTGAGTAGAGCGTAAAAGTTGGGTATAGGTAGAGCAAACGATACATAACTTTAATCAATGAGCGTTGGTTTCTATCTAACTCAATGAATGTTGTTTTAGCAGCACCACCCAAATCGGGACACAGTATGCCATTACAGACTCAACCAATGCCATGTATATTCTGTTTAATACAAACTCTGACGCAATATGCCGTAAAGCGATAAATACGTGAGCCACATCAATTTTCTCAATCTAGTTAAAACCAGTTCCAGATGACTATACTAGTTTAACCTATCGTCAATTATAACACCTAGGTACTTGACGCACGATACTTTACTAAGTATGAGACAGTCACAGTTTCCTAGTTGTTTGCATCTGTTAATTCTTACACTAAAATCTGCTTTAGGTTGAGTAACCTTATTTTTGGTAAAGCATACGTAGTTTGTTTTGGTTGTGTTTAAAGAAAGTATATTTCTTTGTAGCCAACAATCAATTACTGAAAGCCCTAGTTCAGCCAGTAAAGCTATTTCTTTCCTTGTTTTACCCGTGAACAGTAAAGCGGTACAAAATGTGAGCATTATTAATTTTTAGATTTCATAAGTCATTGATATAAATCAAAAATAGCGTTGGACCATAAGTTGGGCCATAAGTAATACTCTTCTCGTCACTAACATAATATGTGTCAATTTTAACACGTTGTTTACGTTCATGTAAGCAATTTCTAAGCTAAGTGAGTGTTAAACCTCGAATTCCTATATTTTTAAGCTTGCGTATTTAAGCCTTATTACTTGATTTAAGAAGTATTTAATTGTGTAACAAACACAATTTATTTCCAGGTCTCCTTATGTGCCCGATTGCTCTCGAGTGTATATGTATTTAGTATCCTTTGGATCAAAAAAGCCAATAAGAAATGTTAATGATGACGGCATTCTTAATGTCAATTTACAACAAATCAAGTCGTTTTTCCTCGTTCATTGACTCATGGCGAACTCATAAAATACCTACATAGTATTTAAATATAGAAGAAGTGCACAAAGCTAACGTTTTTTAAACTATATGTACTTTAAAGATAAAATAAGTTTAAAAACGGGTCCGTAGCTGTAGAGGGAAACGGTCTTGACAAGGAGCCATCCTAAGTCCTTGTCACCTTGAAATTGAGCCGACTTGAATGAGTCTTAACTAGTATGATAATGATTACTAAACGACTTACTGAGAGAACAATGCGCCTATAAACGGGATAATCCAATGAAGTTTAAAAACGGTTAGATAACACTATAGGGGGCCGGTTTATATTTTGGCATGTCCTAGTTCAAAGGTTGTATAAACAATGTCAGTTCAAATTATACTGGTCAATGTTTGTTTGTTGGCTAATCTTTTTTCGTTCAGTCGGTCCCTTTTTGGAATGCGTTTCTCCTTGAAATCGGGATGGCCCCTAACACTTTTTCATTTAAAGTAAAAGCAAAGCAAAAATTGGTCACACAACTAATATTTCATTAAAAAATTTCATCTGATGTTTTTATTAGTATCTATGTGCGTAAGTATTTAAAAAGTAGTTCATGTTACTCTATGATAATGTAGCTTTCCATTAGTAAAATAAGTTTTTAAATCGCTTCAGTGGTTTAGGCATGAAATCGTAACAAACAAACTCACTTTCACATTTAGAATATAAATATTCAAGTTTGGATATATTTAAGTACTTTACTATCTGTAGTTATATAGGTGTAGTATGTGATATACTTTATATACTAAGATTTATATATGTGTATATACTCGTATTTGATATTATACTCAGTATGCATAAATTTTGGTTTTAGATTGAAAATAGTTGACTGGCAGTGAATGCCTTAAGAATTAAGTCCGTCAATGCACCACATCAAATCAGATCAATACAATATTTATTTGTATGTGCATGCACCAAATTTGCATTATGTATAATAAATATTAAAAAATAAATTCAAAATGGACGAAATTTGGCCACCAGGCGATCTCTAAGTAAAATTAATAACCTTTTATTTCAAATTATTTAATTTTAAACAAAATGACAAACGTAAGATTACATGAATAAAAATAATGTATAGGTCATACATATGTAATTACTTTATATTTTCAAATCAATTGATTTCCCAAATAATCAGCTTGCGTCATATTTGAATACTTCTAGTAGATGTTGCTTATATTCTTCTGTCTTGATAGAGTATGCGACACGTACGTTTGCGTTTTCTTTATTTACAAATTCATTTGTTACTTTGCCTCTCCCATCACCTGAAAACGTAAAATACGTAAAATAATTTTTATCGCGATACAATACTTGGTATTACTTGTCAAGACTCATTGAACAGTTAATATTGATTTAATTAACCATGGTAATTTTTACTCCGTGGTGACGGATTAAAAATACAGGGTGTCACTACCCCTATTCATCCCGTGGGTGTCGTAAGAAGACAGGTGTCGAGAAATCTACGCAGAAATACAGCACTGCAGAGAGAAGAAAAACTTGACACAAACCCTATACTAACCCATCTGGCCAGCATGGTATAGTAGGCCAAAACCTCCTTTCTAAGGACAGGCCTATGTCCAGCAGTGGACTATTAAAGGCTGTTGATGATGATGTTTTTACTCGATAAGTTATAGTAAACGGGTGGAACTCATGTTTATTTTCGGTAATTAGTTACTGATATTTTGGCACTGTTGCAACCGCGCATGATAGCGGAACTAATGCCTGAAAATAAACGTGTTAAATATCAATTCCTTCCAATTAAATACTTTCGGATTCATTTTTTTTTAAATAAATATTTAAATAAATAGATATATTATTTTACCGGCATTCAGTGGCGTAGGCAGTGAATCATATCATAACCATTTTTTTAATTTCTAAATCCATTTCGGCTGAATAAACATAACTAAATTTTAAAACATCAATTACGTACCGCAAATACTTATGTCATTCTTGGAATACTTGTACTCTTGTACCAAGTCTGGTCTCAGAAACAAAGTAACGACTGCAGGGTCCAGAGCCTGCCAACTGTCCTCATTGTCAATAGCTACTTTTTCGAATTTGTTTTGGTGCCTCATTATCTCAGTTTCTAAACCTCCAAGAACGTTATTTCTCCAGTCCTGAAAAAAAATTATACATCGGCAATAAATAATTTGTCCTAAATACAAAACTTTGTTTCTGTTTGCAAACAATTGACTAGTTGAAATTGAGGGTTAAAAATTCAATGAAACTGAGAATTCGGTGTGAGGTGCATAACCTCTTTATCGGCTTTATTTATAAAAATCCTAAAATTGATGAAGTTACAGAATCGAATAAACTCGTGTAAACTCGCTAAAAATAAAATCTATTTTTCATACCCCTAAATGACAAGCGTGACCCACCCCTAAATTTTTTTTTCAATATTTCCTAGAAATAATGTATATGGCAAAACAACGTTTGCCGGGTCAGCTAGTATTATATATAGATTGCAACTACAAATATTAAAGACAATAACATCTCCACAGATTAATTTACAATACAGTACGATGAGCTGGTTCTTTTTAAACATTGTAAAGTTCTACTCATTCACCTAAATATAAAACATAGTTTGTTAAAGGAAACCATTTTAAATACAACTTGGGTAATAAAATAGAACATTCTGTATGTACACGGGTAATCTCACAAAACCGTTTGCAAATAGTACGCGCTGTTAACGTGTTCGGTGATAGACCTATTTCTTAGCGTGCCATGGATTCACCGTGCGGGTACCGGGCCCATCACGAGATAGATGGGAGCTACACATGCGACTTCAACAGCGCCTGGGAATTGGATAGGTTTAGGGAGTACTCCTTGCGACGCTGACATATTTGATACGAGGCTAGGATTGCCGCTTTGGATATTCGTTCTAGAAAAGAGCTTACTGAAGCTCTTGACAATCCAAAGTCTTTAAGCAGGTTATAGAAGGATTTAGCTGGTATACACCTAACACGCATTTCCATTGCATACAATGCAACGAAATAACTATTTTCAGTTTCGTTGGTTAAGTCAAAGCACTCTTTTCTTTTTCAATACGATAAATAGTACCGCGATTAATTAATAAATGACCCTCCAATATAAATAAATGCCTAAACGAAAAAAATATCGAACATAATTTGAAGGGATTCTGTTTGGAAAATATGGTCCAGTCATGTTTGTAAGGAATCCCTCCTCCTTTCCTTGTCTCACTCAGAGTTCACTTCATCGTTCTGCGCCCGTACGCTTACATACTCGTTAGTACTTTATAAGTACCTATATAATAACACATATATTTTGTAGGTACTGTATGTTTTTACTGTATAGTGTTATTTTTATCAACTTCGCTTGATGTAGCATCTGTTGCATTTTTACAAACCTCAATAGTTTAAAAATACACTATAATCAAAAATTTTAAATGGCTTTGTAAAATGTTAAATAAATGAATAAAAAAATTAATAACAACCTTGTGTAATCGTGACTAAACCTATACGTAATTTTGCGATTCCAACTATACACCAGTAATCAACCGATCATTATGAAATGATAAAAGCTTGTTTTACTACAAATACAAAAAAAGTGTGTCTGTACAATTCACACGGCAGAAGCGACACTTCCGAAGAATTTTTATTTTATTTTAGAAGACAAAAAATTCTATAAAATTGTGCACGACCCGGGAATCGACCCACTAAGGCAGCTTTTTCAAATTAAACGAGAACGAAGTCGCGGGTACCAGCTAGTATTATAAAAAGTAAAATATTCACACTGTCAAAATATTATACTAAAAAAGGTGTGATGAATTCTATCTTATTCTTTCCCATACATTTATGTGTTTGCTTCTTTATCGTGACGCATTTTCGTTTCATCGAGTTTCAAATCACCACGATTCTAATGAAGTGTCACTTCAAAAATTAAAGCGGATTAGAGTACTGAAGCAAGTTTATTTTGATATACATAACAATACTAACTCTTGACCGTTGATGTACTCGTAGCGTTAGTCAGTCAATTTAACCCTCTTGGGGTTGGAGGTAACCCTCTTGTAAAGGACTCTTTTCGGGATTATACATATCTCTTATCATAAGGAAGAATAAACAGCGTAACAAACAAACCTGTCGAAGTAGATATAGTAAACCATGATAAGCATGGTTAACCCTCTTGTAAAGGACTCTTTTCGGGATTATACATATCTCTTATCATAAGGAAGAATAAACAGCGTAACAAACAAACCTGTCGAAGTAGATATAGTAAACCATGATAAGCATGGTTAACCCTCTTGTAAAGGACTCTTTTCGGGATTATACATATCCTCTATGATAAGGAAGAATAAACAGCGTAACAAACAAACCTGTCGAAGTAGATATAGTAAACCATGATAAGCATGGTTAACCCTCTTGTAAAGGACTCTTTTCGGGATTATACATATCCTCTATGATAAGGAAGAATAAACAGCGTAACAAACAAACCTGTCGAAGTAGATATAGTAAACCATGATAAGCATGGTAACCCATGTTTTAACTAATGATTATTTTTGTAGTATATTAAATAGTGTAATACCAAATAGTACAGCAGAAGAATTAATTTGTCTACATACGTCTTTACAATTTTGAACAAATCTAATATATCGTAACAGAACAAGTTTTTATCTACTAATGATTTATATGATATAAACCAAGTTTTTTTTTTGTTTTTTGTGTTCAAAGTCAGCTGGGTCGCCAGTTTTCTAAAACAATATTTCACCAACCTTTGTAAAATTTAAATGATCCTTTACTTGTGAGAATGGAAGAAGTGTAACTTTGTCTGCGGTAGCATTTTGGGCTATTACGTGGTAAGCTTCTACATCCATATGCGCATTAAACTCTGGATCAGGATGTCCATCACCTGAATTTGTAAATTAGATTAATAAGTTCTGTAAATTTACAAACCTAAAAGACATTCCTCATGAAGATAGATAGATAGAAGTCTTTATTTGTACACCGTTTTATAAAAAGTATGGTACACTAAAGTGTCAGACATATAATGTACAAAGGGCGGTCTTATTGCTAAAAGCAAGCTCTTCCGGGCAACCTTAGGGTTGAACAAAATGTTCCGGAGAGACAGTGCTAGTTGACGGTGAAATGAGTTTTTCAGGTTAATGGCCAACGAATATATAAGATTCTATGAATAAGGATTTTTTTCGCCTAAAGTAAATATTATAAGTTTGTATTGCTAGGATGTGATTGTCCAGATTTATTTTCTACCATTTACAAATCTATTAAGAAATCAAAGGTAGGTATTCTATGTTTTTATTATAATTTTATTATACCCATTTGGCTTGATAAATATTCTTGTCATCACAGATCCATTGGAATAAATCCATTTAATAATAATAATATTTCGGACATCTGACACACAACGCCATCTAGTTTCAAACTAAGCAGAGCTTGGACTATGAATGCTAGATTGGCTGATAGAATACTTGTATACTATCAGTGTGTTTTTTGTAAATACATACATATTATACATAGAAAACACCTAAACTTCTAAACAAATGTTTGCAGATCATACAATTTTGATCCGACCAGGGAATCGAACCCGGGACATTATATCACAGCAGTCGCATACGCTACCACTGCACCACCAAGGCAGTCTTTAAGCTAACACCTGGTTAAAGAAAATGAGATACGCTTCCTTAAAACAAATTAAGACAGACTTACTTTCATGAGAATTTAAGCATTAGACATGATTTAATTACAACTTGCCCCTTAGAAATACTTAACTACTTTAAGTAAAATATGCTTGTTTCATATTTCATGCTTGTACTTACTTTGTATATTTCCTGCTCCAATATACAAATGTTTCAGTCTTCCTAAGAAACCAGGATCCAATCTAACGGCTAGCGCTACATTTGTTAAAGTTCCTATTGTTATAACTGTCAGTTCCCCTGTAATTAAACAAGCTGATATATAGGACACGTAAGCCTAATTGGACAAGATATTGACTGCCTTTGAACATATTTAGCGGATTAGTATTTTTATGAACAATACTAATAAAATATATTATTATCCATGTGGTGACGGATTAAGAATACGGAATGTCACCACCCCTATTCATCCCGTGGGTATCGTAAGAGCCGGCTAAGGGAGTAAACTACGCAGGACAACAGAACTGCAAAGAGAAGGAAAACTTGAAACGAACCCTATACCAACCCGTCTGGCCAGCGTGGTATAGTAGGCCAAAACCTCCTTTCTAACGAGAGGCCTATGTCCAGCGGTGGACTGTTATAGGCTGTTGATGATGATGATGATGATCCATGTGATATTTTTTAAATACGAGTAGTACTCTTAGTAAATAATTCCTTCCTTTAACTAATTAAAGCTGTGGATTAGTATTAGCACTCTAACTCTTAGCTAATTCTTAGTTTTTTGTTAGTTTTTGCTAGTTGTATTATTTAGTTATATTGCTAAGATATTAAGTAAGTAAGTAAGAAATTCATTGTCTAAATAAATATAAGCGTAGTTATTATATTTTGTTTTATTTAAGTAAGAGGTTAATTTAATCCTTTGTTTAAGCGAGCGAAATACTTCCGGCACCTTCCGGCAACTCTAAACCACAGAGCTAGACTTCACCGGTTCAGTCTAAAGTAATAGCAAACCTAGACAAGCCTAGCGTCCTAAGGCAAGGATCTGGCATTAGAGCGTACCTTTATACTTTCTGGAGTGCTCAATAAGGGCTAAAACAGCATTATCATCTTTTGCTGGTACCAAGTCTGGAAATGTAATACCGGTGTCTCCAAGACCATCTTTGCCGTAGTAATCGGTCACTGTTGGCGTTTTCACCAGTGATTTTCTCGATCCTCGATAGATTGGTACCTGTAGATACGAGTAAATAGTAATTAATAAAATTGTTTAATATTTGAGAAGTATTTGCAAATTATAGCCGGCAGATTATATAAGTAAATTTACGGCGTACGGCATGTCGCCTATGTATGTGCAGAAATTTTTAATATTCATTCCAAGAATATTTTCAGATTTGAGTATGTGAAAGTTTATACATACAAGAAATACAAAAATCTAAAAATTACTATGCAATATGTGTTAAAATACACGAAGGCACATTAGAAATACGTCCAGTATAGTTGACCTTTACTACAGAAAGTTACAATAACGTATGCTAATATGTTATTGTTTCTTAAATGTTCAATTTATAATGGAAATAGATATTACAAGTCTACGAATAGACTGAATTCGACCGTCGGACACAATGAAGTTTATCGTCTTATTCCTTTAACCTCCATCTTTCATTACTTCACTTTAGTGCTTCACTTGAAGTATCTATTATATAAGTTCTATCGTTACGAACGCTACGATATAAACGATAAGAATCTAGCGTTTTATCGTTTAATTAAGACGGCGAAACTGTTTCAACTGATTGTTTATTACAATGCATTCATCCAGAATAGTAATAGCTGCCGTATTTGTATACCTATGTATTTATACCTACTTTACATACCAGTGGAATTGCTTAAGTCACTTGCATATTTCAATGATTATTCTCTAACAAAATACGCGGAAGTTGATTGCCACTTTGATGGAATGTTCGACTACTTATGGCTAAGATAAATGTGAACGCAAAACACCTATGTATGTATAGATACGGATATATATGTATTGCATAGTTATTCAGTATCTATAAGTGTTTATATAGATATGTTTATATATTTGCCTATTATTTAGTTGTTATTAAATTTTTTCTACCTTTTATTAACTTCTTTTAGTGTATCTACCTCATGCTGTCTCTCATCTCTCTCTCATCGCCGGATCGGATAACTGATACAAAATGCCTACGCCTATGCAAAACTTATGCCTGAATTAAATAAATAAAAGAAACACCACAAAGTTTTATTAAATTAAAGCAAGTAATACGTGTATTTATTATGTAAATTAATGATAATCTTATCGTGATTTAAATATAATCAGCGAAAGATAAAATGTGATAAGAGTAATTTCAAACATCACACGATGGTTAGATTTTTTATGTATAATTATATAAAAAAGTGTCTATGTTTTTTTTTCTTTCAGCATTTCTGACCTGTTGCGTCGTGGATGATTACTGTCAAACAGTCTTACATAGTAGATACTGTTCCCTTTACTAGCTTGTTAATTAATGAATATCACAAACGAAGTCTAAAGTTAATTAAAATTTTTGGATTTAAAGTTTTTGATTACGTAGTAGTAGTACGGTCTGAGCATCGTGGTATAGTAGGTCAAAAGCTCCTTTCTAAGGAGAGTACACTGTAAATACTGGAATTTAAGGAGGTAGTTCGGTATGTCATAAGGCAACAAAGAGTAATAAACATATTTATTGAATAATTGGGATGTAATAAATAAGATAAGGATGCTTATCTCAAGCTCGGAGTTAAAGTTCGAGTTTAAAATGGTGATTACTATCTTCATGAACGTTAATAGATTCATAAACATTTGTGTTTTGCGGTTAGTATCTGATTAAATTTGGTAATTCTTTGGTAATATCAAGACAAAATTACATTACACCAATCGTGGTCACAAATACAAATAAAAAAAATGAAAAAACACATCTCCAGACTGCTTAATCTGAGATGAATGAATTAAAAGTATGTTTTTTCGTATTTTAAATATTGTATGTGCTGCCACACTGTTCTAACGATACGATAATGTCGCATATGTATGCAACATTATCGTATCGTTAGAACCACCAAAAAAAGGTCAAAAGGTTGGATGAAATAAATACTTTTATCCAACCCTAGGTAAACGCTACTACTTAGAAAAGTATATATATATAGTCAACAACTTTTGAACATTCACATTTAATGTCAACCTGTAACAGCATTTAAAATTTATGAAGATACAACAATCATTGCGATGGTTTGACTATAATAATAATAATATAATAATATTGTACCACATTCACACAACGCCATCTAGTTCCAAACTAGGCGGAGCTTGTATTATGGGTACTAGACAACTAAATACATATATATATTTTTTTTGTAAATACATACTTATTATACATAGAAACACCCAGACCAAATCAAACATTAAATGTTCATGCACATAAATGTTTGACTTGAGCGGGAATCGAACCCGCGACCTTTGGAATAGCAGTCCGTTACACAAAGCACTACGCCATTCGGTCGTATGGACTATGACAGCATATCAAAACTATGACCACACAGCAACCATCACCGCCTTAATTCTCATTATTGCAACCTTTTAATCAATCAGGAAGATTGTCCAAGGACAAAGCAATAATAGCATAAGAATAATGTACCTAATTCATAATGCATTCATTATTTGTTAATGAATATTCATTAATGACCTAACACTAAGTTATTTTCAACTCACGTCTTGTCTGTTTGCGACTCTGAGGATCCTCTGGTTATTGTAATACACGTTGTCTTCTTTTGTATTTCCATTCCCGGTCGTCAGAGCTACTAGTTTTGGTCTGTAAGTAATAATAATTGTTTTATGTATAAGAATCGATTTGAACACTAGATCAACTTCAATACCTATTTCTCAATAGTTCCTGTTGTAAATGATAATGTAATGTTCAGTAGCATTTTAGTTAACATTTAAAGGTGCATCACAAGAATTACCTAGGTAACATTTAAGTTTATTTTATATCACAAGATTATTTTATGATTAGAAGAATAAATTACTTTACAATAAGCATATTATCATTATCATCAAGCCAATCAATCGGCCGCAGGACTTTGTCTGGACTGGACTGGATAGATACCTAATATAATAAATAATTCACTAAAGCTAAATTAATCTTTTAACATTTATTCTTCCAACAAGTCATACAGTCTTTCTTACTCTACGAATTGGGTGTACCAAATTTGTTGTTTCCTCTACTGGAACTATTTACATTTGATAATAATATAAAAAGTATTCCAAAATAAAAAAAATCAAAGGTAACAAAAGTATTCCAAAATTTCAAAGGTAGGGGTATACCTAAATAGCCACGTACTCGTAGGTACTAAACAAATAACAGATGTCAAAACTGAATATATAATATAATGGAATTTGGTTTAAATAGGTTATAATAAATACTCTCCAAAAGGGACATATTCGTATTTAGCCAAGTTTAATAGTTGATACTCTTAACGTTATAATCACTTGACATCATTTACATCGCTGAACTTATCCTAGAAGTTCAACATGTTCTTACGGAACTGCACTAAATTGTTCGATAATGAGCAAAATGGGTGATCACAACACAGCAAGCAAAGGCATTGCAATTTAAGAGGTGGAACTGGCCTAATAGGCAGATAGCTGCCTCAATAAAAAATGTCCTTAAGTATTTTTTTTTGCTTATATTATCATTATTGTTGAAAACGAGGTACTAACCCATCGAAATGTTTTTCGTATAGCAGAGCAAGGAATATGGCCATAGCATCGTCACCGCCTGCATCATTGTCAATTATAAATTTTGGCTCTGTTGCCTTTTGGCTGAAATAAAAAAAAAACACATCTATTTATTTCTTGTAAATATGGTATATAATAATCCATCAATAATTGTTGTTTATTGTGGCAGAAATATAAAAAAGTAAACATGACAGTGGCAAGTCAATATAGGTATATATGTATGTATGTGTATATGAAAATGTAATATGCAAGTATGTTTATAAAAACAAAGACAGCTTCTTGAAAAGAAGTTACGTACATGATTTAAATACCAGAAATAGAAATAAACTAGTTGTACATGCCTCTAGGCTCCAAAAAATAAACAAATCTTTTCGAGGTCAAGGCATACAAGGTATACAAGATTTTAGTGTGAACAAATTTGAATTCATAATAAAACGTAAACTATGTCAGAAAGCCTATTACTCAATTGTGGATTACATAGATGACGAGAATGCTTATGATTAATTGATTAATTTAGCAAAGGCTATTTCGTAGTGGAAATATGATGTGGGCTAGTATAGCTCTAATTGATTTTTTTTATTGATTGATGTCTCTGTTCATTAAAAAAAAATGGCCGTGAGTTTGTTTGCCCTTTCTTCTCATAACTCTTAGGACGTCGCGGCGCGCGGTTGACCTATGACCCGTTACTGTCGCGCCCTTGAACTAGTGACCCAGTCACAGCTGAGCGAAGTCATTATTACCTCAATATCTACGTTATTTTATAATTATATTCAATGAAATAAACATATTTGGAATCCCTGATATATATTCTTCTAAATGTTGTGACAGAGACGCTACCGCGTAAAAATTTGGTGTCACAACTGTTGTGACGGCGACGCGTCGAAGGTTAAGGCTCAACCCCTTGGAAACGGGCGGTTGTAGATCGGCACAGGTATATAATAAATTTTCGATACGTATATATTTAGTTTAGTTTAATTGTTGCTATTCTGTGTGTTGATTTATGACTTTAGTGTCTATACAAGAGACGATTTCAAACATTTTTTTTTCATGAAATAAAGATATTTTGAGTTTGAATTTGAATATAATTAAAATCTAAAAGCCGGAGGCTTCAAAGTTATAAAATAACCATTTTATGTGTTTTTAAGGAAAAACACAACAAGATCACAATTATACAAATCAAACATAAAAGATCATAATCATAGAAATTGCAAATCCTGTTTTGGTACGATTTAATTTGTTTAAACAGGTAGTCCTACATGTTTTCCTCCTTGTTGCCTGGAAGACTTAAAATTTATGTATGTTGCAAATCAGGATTATACTTGGTTTTTAAAAGCTTTTCGTACCAGACTAGTTGTAGATTTTGATTTGTGTACATTTCATACAAGCCCCATAATTTAACATATTACCAAATTCAGGTAACTAAAACCCGGGATAAGTCGGCGTAACACTATCGGAAACCCGTAAAATATTACTCGTATTCCGATATTTTATAAAAATCTGAAATTTTAAACTCGCGTGAGTTTACGACAAGATAGCAGTAATTGAAAGGGACGTCTCGCTATTGTTTTAAAGATAAGATGGCAACTAATAAAAACAATTGTCATATATGAAAATTCTAAATCATGATTGATTTCTTTTTAGTTTTCGTTATCATTTACAATTACTGATTATCATATAAAATGGTGTAATTAAGAGTAAATAGCAATTAAAAGTACAATGAATTCGTGTTCAAATAATGACTGTTTTGTGAAACAAAAATTTTAACTAAATTTTCTAAGTAGGTATGTTAATTGCATTACATTTATTTTTGACTGGCTTCAAAAGAATGTTTTGTATTTAACTATATTTTTTTTTTTTTTAAACTTCGTCGCATATGAACCGATTTGGAAATTTATTCATTTATTTATTAGGTTACCTACTATTTATTTGGTCCACCTCAAATAGGATGAAAAAATACCATCCCTAAGGGTGGATAGAAAATTTAAAATGGAGAATACATTTATTGGCTTATTCAAGTCGGTAATACTCGTTGAAAATTAAATATTCGAAGGTTTTTAAATACATCGTAGTACAAATAAAGGTTAATTTCAAGAAAATTAAATGCCAAAAATACGAATACAATACGATTATTTAATAAACTAAATCAAGATAATAAATAAATGGTTAGACGAGAAATATATATCAAACATAATTTGAAGGGTTTTTTTTGGGAAAACATGGCCCAGTCATATTTTGTAAGTAATCCCTCCTCCTCCTCCTCAATTCACCACCCGTACGCTTAGATAAATATTTTAAAAGTACCTGCATTATGTTGCATGTATTTTGTACTATACGTGTTTACTGATACAACTTCGCTTGATGTAGCATCTGTTGAATTTTTACAAACCTCGGTGGTTTTCAAATACACTGTAATTAAGAGTCGTAAATGGCTTTGTAAAAAGCAGCCTATCTAATTCAAAGCTTGATAGATAATATGCATTTCAAATATTTAAATGTAATGACTACTTTAAAAACTTACCAATCCACTGATAAAAACACAAACAAAGACACGAATATTGGCATTAACATCTTGGAGGCAAGTGATCCGCAGCCCGGCGGACGATAAACTAATCTATTTTGTGATGCTTTAAAACGTCTTATCGTCGTAAATATTTATCTCTCTTACGTAAAGGTTCATTGAAATCTGTAATTTTACTTCCCCCCAATAGGTATAATAACGTATTTAAATAAATAAACTTTAATTTCGTTTAAAAGACAATTAAAAATTAAATGAATGAAGACATGAAACCTCTTGTGGAACTAGTTAGGAGAGTCTAAGCGAATGGTAGCTTTGTCATTCAGTTCCGAAACTAAAAATGTGTCATAAATATAATTAAAATTAAAATTTGTTATAATATTAATATATATTCAGCTTATATAACATTTTTACAGTCATCCCCTTCTTTGTTAGTTCTCGCTTATCTACGTTTAATTTTCAATTTATTTAATTTTTATATATATATTATAACCATACTGTTAACAGATTTAAGTCTGTCAGCGCAGCTAGTTTTGAAATAAGAATTGATGATGACAGATGAAGAATAAGAAATGCAATATTCTCTTAAGTGGTTAGAAATTCAAATTCAGAGGTATACCTGACATCCTGTCAATAACAATAATAATAATGACACCATGCCCTTCTGTCGCCCTTGGCCGTATGTAAGTTTTTGCTACCCCTTTAAAGTAAAAGGAAGACCAAAAAAGCTATCGCCATAAAGGTTCAAACTAAGCAGAGCCTGTACTATGAAAGCTAGATTAACTGATAGAATACTTATATACTTTTTTTTGTAAATACATACATATTATACATAGAAAACACCCAAACTTCGAAACAAATATTAACCTACCACACAATATTAACTTACTAACGAATACTCGTTAGTAAGTTTAAGTGCTGGTTAAACTAGGTTTCTTCGATCAATTTTGTACTTTAAACATCGATATCTTTCGAATCTCTGGATCTAAAAGAAATCTAAAACTATTTAATAATCGCTTCTATATTTTTCTCGATTGATAATAACAAAAGTAAAATGGTAGACTTAGAGAAAAAAAGCAAAGCTATAATGATTTCGGATTTAATTTGGTATCCCCGGTTTTTAAACCGACAGCCTTTAATAGTCCACTTCTGGACATAAGCCTCTCCTTAGAAAGGTTTTGGCTTGTTTTTTTTTAATTAAATTAAATTTAAACAATTAAGAAAAAGTCCATCATCGATCAATCTTGGGTTGTGGAGGTCTGATGGCAATCACTTTGCGTAAAAAATCAAAGTTCAAGTAGTAGAATCAAAGCCGACCCCGACCTGGTTTGGTAAAAACACTCGGAGACAGAGAAGAACAGGAAAAAAGTTGTTGTTAAAAATGATACAAGTATCTTAACCCATATGCAGAAAAAGAAATGACAGCTATTTAGTGTTGTTATTCATGAAATAACATCTACCAGGAAAAATAATTGTGTGATTCGATCATTTGTCCTGTGTGTGGGTGATTTACCGATAATATGTTTGTATTTAAAAATATATAAGTATGTTTATCAGAAGTCTGGTTACCATAGTACAGACTCTGCCTAGTTTGGGATTAGACGGCCGTGTCTGAGATGTGTGAGGTTATTATTATTTAAAGTTAGGATTTTGGGTAGATACCAATATGAACGTGAGTCTCGTACACACCGCCTACATGGGATCGTAGGCGGTGTGTACGGGACTCACGTTAGTATTAAATAAGGTCTATAATTTAATCGGGATCGGACCCACAGCACTTTGCGTAGTAGTAAGCGTGGCGACCGCTTTAACCACTACGCCATCCGTGCAGTCATATAGTGCAGTCAATTTAAATATTTTTCTCTGTCTGTTTATACCGGGAAAACTTCAAAATGGCTTGACTGATTTCGATTATACTTTACTATCAGGTAGCTGTTTATATAAGGAGTAACTAAGGCTATTTTCCCTTTTAGAAAAACCCTATAAAAGTTTTCCCGGTCCGGGTATCGAACCCGAGGCCTCATGGACTGGTGTCGCGCACCATACTACATAACTGAGCCAGCGCTTTTCAAATTCGCGGGTATGTAATATTATTGCCTGGCTCAGAAGCAATACCAGTGAAATTAGTACATGGACTCTGAAAACTAAACAGAGGCGTGTATTAATTAGTGATTTAAATGTGTAGTGAAACTACTGTTACGTGTTCAGTACACGTGCATCACGTACAGCACAATGTACGTGATGCGCGTGTAATGTGCTAACAAATGTATGTGTTAGTGAGTTTAATGTCCCAACAAATGGCGACTAATTGTTTAACTATCTATGGTTTGTAAATTTAAATAACTATCATTCTAAGTAACTTTTTATCTATGTAAACAAGTTTATTTTTTATTAATATCTTTATAAAAAATCCAGCCGATAAACAGTGTTTTGGGTTTATATCCATAATAGGCTAGTTTACTCAATTTGAAAACTTGGTTAATTATATAATTTAATATCTATTTTATCCCAAAAACCCTATATTTTAAAGAAAAGCCTATTACGTATTTTGTAATTAAAAATAACAATTAATTTTCCTTTGAAAACGCTGAACACTGACACTAGTCACATGACACTAGTCATGGCGTCTTGAATGACGTCACAGTCCGCGAAACAAAACTGTTTACATCTGTGTCCAGTGTCAACTGAAACTGTATTAAGGTAAGAAAATGTGCTAAAAATGAAAAACAATAAGGACTTAAGTTAATTAAGAAGAGTAACCTGCTCTGTTGTATGAAAACGTCAACAACAACAATGATGTAAGCGTGGCGTGACGTAACACTTTCTGATTGGTGTTCGCTGTCACGTGACTTAATGACTATTTTGTTCGAATTTATTAAAAAAAAATACTAATAATCTTTAACTCTTATGAAAAATAGACTTATCTATGTCTCTTTATTTATAATTGGTAACTATAAACCAAGCAATTTGTTATTAGTGGACACAAGCCTATTGTGAACTCATTCCCAATGAATTATTTATTATAATTTTTACTATACGTACGTATGTTGAGAATGATGATAATGTTTTGACTGTACAACACATTGAAATCAGTCAATATTCCTCTATTAAATTATTATGAAATCGTGAATTGAAGAGATATTAAAATGAAAAAGGTCTCTTTTATTTAATTTCTTAAGGTTTTTTTTTGTTATACATATTATTAAGGTACAACTTGTAATGTTGGAATATTTTGGAACGACTGTGCTATTTGCACAGATTGTGACTTAAAAAACGTAATTTATTTGATCGTTTATGGAAATGTTGAACTCTTGCAGGAATGTTTGAACTGCTTCACAGTTACATACTGTATCCCCGACGGGAAGACGCCGGCACGGCTGCCGTAGGCTGAGATGTCTTAAATTTAGTTTATTTCTTTTTTTCATTTAGGACTTTGCAATTAATTCCAAGATAATAAAACAAAATAACCTCTCAAAATCAAATCTAGTAAATAGTAAAACGTACCTAACGTAGAGCACTATCTTAGTTAATATAAGTAATCTAAGTGCACAAATTGTGTTGAAAGCGGTGATGACGAAAGCGCTGCAAAGAGAAGGAAAACTTGACAAAAACCCTTTTTTTTACGTGTGGAAACCCCCTCGGGCCGTCGTGTACTTGCTTCGACCGTCACCCCACCGGGGTTTGCGGCGGGGTGGTGTGTCGGACTCGGACCGACTAAAACCACACGGTGTGCCACTCTGCGACTGTAACAGGAGGGATCCGGGAACAGCTGTTATTAAGACATCCGGACCCCTCCTAGCGCCGGCCCGCTCCTGTTGCGGGCCCCGTCTCAAAATTTTCCTCTCTTTAGGCAACGTCCGGCACACGCGGACGCCGCCCCCTCGCGGCTGGCCAAACTAATGCGGGTGGAGGGGAAACCCACCCCGTCCACCCGCGGCCACACTCAGGGCGGCATGAGGCGGTGATAGGCGCGCCTCCGCCGCCCGGTTCGCCGGCGGCGGATCGGGTCCGAGTGGAGGTCGTCCTCCCGGGCCTTCTCCGCCGCCTCCTTCTGCGAGATTACTTCCTCGCAGAAGGTAGCGACCGCGGTAAAACAACTGTCGCTACCGGCCATGGAGCGTACTACGGCCGGTAGCGAGAGATCCATTCCGATGACTGCAGTGAGGGCCAGGCGCTGCGTCGCCCATGCGGGGCAGACCGCCAGCGTGTGCTGGGCCGAGTCCTCACTGCAATCGCAGTGGTGGCAGGCGGGACTCAGTTCCCTCCTAGCGACCGAGTGCAGGTACTTTCCGAAGCAACCGTGCCCGGAAAGCACCTGCGTCAGCCGGAAGGTAAGGGTCCCGTGCTGCCGCCCTGCCCACTCGGCGATGACCGGCTGGAGAGCCTCTACGGCGGCTAAGCCAGCGCGTGGAGTCTCCAGCCGGTACGACCAACGAGCCATCGTGGCTCGGCGAGCGGCTTCGCGCCACTCGCGCACATCCTCGGGCGGAGGGCGAAATCCGCTCTCCGCCCGGGAGTCAGCTACTCGCCGATAAACTTTGGCGAGCACTTCCGCCTCCAAATCCCACGGGGGAGTTCCGGCCAACGCGCACGCCACCTCCGTCGAAACGGTGCGGTAACCGCGTATGGCTCTGACCGCCATTACCCTCTGAGGGCGCCAGAGGCGTGCCCTATTCTGGGCGGTCAGAGCCGCCGCCCACACCGGTGCACCGTATAGTGCCATTGACCGGACAACCCCCGTGTACAGCCGTCTTGTCGCGACGCTGGGTCCACCCAAATTAGGAAAAAGTCGCCCTAGGGCAGACGCAGCGCCGACCAGCTTTGGAGCAAGCTGTCGGAAGCGCTCGTCGAAGAGCCACCTCCCGTCGAGGATCAGGCCCAGATATTTCATCTGGGTCCAAACCGGTACGAGGACCGAGTTGACCACGATTGAGGCGCCAGGGGGTGGACCACGACGGGGCCCATGAAATAACAGAGCCTCCGTCTTATCTAGGGCCACCCGTAAGCCCAGCGCCTCAATGCGCCCGACCACCAGGGAGACTCCCCTTGTGGCCAGGCGCGCCGCCTCTTGGAAGTTCGCCCCCCGGGCTGTCACCAGGGTATCGTCTGCGTAACAAATTACACCCAGCCCGGGGGGGAAATCGGCTCGAAGGGCCCAGTCGTACCCTATGTTCCACAAGAGGGGTCCAAGAACAGACCCCTGTGGAACACCGCACGACATGGGCCGACACCTCAAATTACCATCTCGGTCCTCGTACACGACGGTACGCTCCTCTAAATAGTCTGCCACGATAGTGGAGTGCTTCCCTGATGCAGCTGAATGGCAGACTATTGAATGCGTTGGCGATGTCTAATGACACCGCCAACAGCACGCCGCCACAGCTCACGGCCTCTTCGGTCACGGCCCTCAGGCGCAAAACAGCGTCGACTGTCGAACGCCCCGCCCGAAAACCAAATTGGGCGTCCGACAGATCGGGGCCCACCTCGTAGAGGTGCCAGATGATGCGGGCAGAAAGAACCCTCTCAAACAATTTACCCGCCTCGTCCAGCAGCACGATGGGCCTGTAGGCCGCGACCGAATCGGCAGGCCGTCCCGGCTTCCTTAATAGGACCAGCTTCCCGCTCTTCCAGCACTCAGGGAAATGTCCCGACGCCAAGCTAGCGTCGAACACCTCATGTGGTTGAGGGCAAGGGCCAGCACTCGGGTCGGTACCCCGTCTGGCCCAGGGGCGGTGTTCCTGGAACGGATCCGTAGAACAGCCGCCCCTACCTCCGAATCCCGGACGGGCGGAACATCATCCTCCTCGTCTCCGGATAAGGAGGCCATCGCCGGGGGAGTGTGCTCCGCCCGTTGCGGGATTGACAAAAACCCTATACCAACCCATGTGGCCAGCGTGGTATAGTAGGCTTAAACCTCCTTCCTAGGCAAAGGTCCAGCAGTCGGCTATGAAAGGCCGTTGATGATGAATAGTAAAAACGTTCTTGAAATTCTATAACACGTCATAATCTTTTTTTCCTACTAGCACTTCGTCGTCAACGTTTTCTTTCATTTTTATAATTTAGGAGACAATATATCATAATCAAATATATGAACCTTACACAGATACATACAACATTACATCTACTCAGAACCATTCTCGATGGGACAACAGAACAATTCTCTGTTCTGTGATGGGACCCATGAAGTTTTAGGGCCTGAGTCTCGAATATAAATTTCAGATACATCACTGACGTTCAATGGGTTTCCTAAGTCTACAGAAGCAGAAATTATATTAATTTTTATAGATTTACGTATTATTTTTATTGATATAACTGAAGTATTAGTGTTAGTCAATAATGACTAAAACTGAAAGACTCCTTAGATTCATACTCGTAATATATTTATGAGTAAATCGTATGTGACACAAAGTGGAATTAATATTCATTGTTATGCTAAATACCTATTATACTTATTTGTATAAATGTGGGTAGCACTGGTTAGACGTGAGAGTGATCTTACTGATAATACTAAATAAGTAATTTAAAAAAATACTTACGAATTCTGCGCCATAATATATGTTTAGTTTCTTTTAACCACAGTAAATATGTGAGATACGTCTGTTCTTATTCACTTTCTTCCTTGAATTTAGACGACATAGTTAAAGTACATTGGTACAATGAATTTAATTACTCACGCCAAACAGAAATGCGCGTGCGCCGATGACGTAGGTCGCTGTCAGAATAGATATATATATATATATGTAAAGTTGAAAATAAAGAGCAAAGTGTAGCTGCGCGACATTGTGCAATGCAATTGTTCTTTTCAAGGTTATGAGGAGTTACCTAATTATCAAGGAGTTTAAATGAAACATGGTAGAAAATGATAAGTATATTGTATTCGAGAGAATTTTGACTGGGTTAAATACTTTTTTTTACATTCTCTTCGATGCAAAATGTCAATTAGTGAATACATCTTAGATTGTTAATATGTCTAGATAGACTGTCAAAACTGTGAAAGGCTATTATTCATATACATTGTCAGATTTCGTGTCTGAAAAACGTTTGTTTCAGTTGTTTTGTAGAATGATACTCTATGTCCAAGACATTTAAGTTTCAGTGTCCAATGCTCATCAATTTACGTCAGTATATTTTTAAACTAGACTAAGCCACACACATATACTAGTCAAACAAAGAGCCATCACACATAGATATACCTGTATATTTAACAAGATAAAATATATCATTTATGTAGCGCCTGACGATTAAATGACTATAAACTTATAAATCTGGAATTGCTGATCAAGCTTGATAAAAATATTTTATTGGAATTTATGTCTCAGCTGCAATATTTAATATTGATATATCTACATATATAGGATGCTAACACACTATATGTGCTATAAATATAATCGTTGTTAGCCACCCGGATGACAAATATTTGATATAAGGTTACTTTAATTTAAGTGGGAGCAAGGAATTCTTAGGTATTTGCATAACAGATGCTGCTGATTGTTTTTATTCAATTCCTTATCGATTAATAGACAAATATATACCACAAAATTAAGTAATAAGCACGATTTTTCTGTGTGGTTTTCCCCTGCACTAAAGAGAATAATTAAAGAAAAATACAAGTTCCTTCCAAAGTATAAAAATTACTGCAACCGATCAGACCACGAAACTAATAAACTGTTTAGAGAAAGGCTCAAAAAGTTAGAAAAACAATGTTACACAAATTATATTTCATATGTAGAACAATCTATCAAAAACAATCACAGACACTTGTTAAGTTTAAGTTTTGTTAAGTCTCGACGGAAAACATCTTGCATGCCGAGCTTTAATGAATATGGTGATGAAATTGCGAGTACGGGGGAGGCCATTTGAAATTTATTCTTAGATTATTTAAAGTCCACCTTCTTAGACTCGTCTCAGATCTCTACTCCCAGTAGTTCTCTAGTCCGTTGTTATTCTCGGTCTTTATAAACGACATCGGCGAATGCTTCCATCACTCTGAGTTGCTATGTTTTGCGGACAAAGAAAAAAAAAAGGCTTTGTATGAAGTTTTCCTTCTCGTTGCAATGCTGTCCTGCGTAGTTTGTTGCGTTAATCGGCTCTTAAGACACCCACGGGATGAATAGGGGTGGCGAAACTCCGTATCCTTAATCCGTCACCACATGAACATTATGCTGATTCTGGTAGGTTAAATAAAATAAAATGTTCAAAACAGTCAAAATTCGTCGTTTTAATTCTCTATTTTACTTTAAAACAGTAATTTGAATCCTCTGTACCATGCTTAATTTACTTATACTATTCTTATATTCACTAACATCATTCGAAGGTCAATTCAAACTATTATAAATGTTGTATACTGCAGGAAGATGCCGAATAGACGTCAAACAAGAATTTCTTGTACTTTTTCACGAACGCTGTGTAAACAAGTCTTGAATTAGGATTCTTTGACGTGAAATTGTTGGTGTTGACACCTCTTTTGTCTCCTGAAATATTTAATTAAATATTGTTTTACTTTTAATAATTTTTACATTCATATTTTGACGGGCCTATTGGTCTAGAGTGGATAGTGATCCTGACTATTAATTCACAGATCGTGGAATCGATTCCCACATATTACAAATACTTGTGTGATGAGCACGATCGTTTGTTTTGTGTCTGGGTGGAATTTGTCTATAGTATTCATGTATTTATCAGCAGTCGGATTTCCATAGCAAAGGCTTTGTATAATTTGGATTCAGAAGACCAATTCTCGTAATAAAAATTCGGTCACACTTCAGTTTCAGTCAGCTTTCGATCTCAGAACTGTCATAAAAGGTATTTCCGTAGTAAAATAGTAAAGTTTTACTAAAAGTTGCAGATTACCGGTTCAATTTTCGGTTATAATAAGTTGGATGTTTAATACTTTACTACGAAAATACCCTTTATGACAGTTGTGAGATCGAAGGTTGATCGGAACTGAATACAGACCGAATTTTTATTACGAGAATTTGCCTTCTGACTGCCGTGTGTGAGATGTGTGAAGTTATATATTTATTAAAATTATTAGATGTTTAATTAAGATAAACAATATGGCACACGATAAACAATAGCAGATGATTTATATTTCAAATGTGTAATTCCAACCTTGATTTCATTCATAAGGCCCAGTCATTTTTCTGTTAAAAGATAAAAGAGCTTAAATGAAATATTTACCACACAAGATAATCCCATTGTCAGTATTTCTGTACTCCTTGACTATACTATTATCTAGGGCCATAGCTGCTACAGCTGGATCCAATAGAGACCAGACTCTACCAGGAGAGGCCAGAGACACCCGTTCATACCCGTTCAGAGCTTTGATGATGGGTGAGTCTATTGCACCTAAAACGTTCACTCTCCATTTCTGCAATTAATATAGTGTAATAATTAAGAAATTAATTTTGACAAATTGAGTTATATTTATTATAACATATTAATTAAAATTGGATATATCATAAAAAAGTCATCTTTAAAGAAAAACAGGCTTGTTTAAAAAACTAAGCTTAAAACACCAATTACACCCGAGTCACTATTGCATCTATTTTACTAGTAAAACATAGAGATTCTCATAGGTTCGGGTTCAGGTAAATTTTCATTTACATTTACCACATTTGCTACAATACGACAGGACGATTGACTTTTAGAAAACAAGAGCCCATACAGCATTCTGTCATGTATATCTTTCTCCGTTTTAGCTATATTCATAGAATGCGCTGCGCACCTCAATTAGTACCAGAGATGCAGAGAAAGATAGAATCTTTGTAATCAGATGAGATAATGCTACTGGAGGCAAATGCGTCAGAATATAACTATGACTACAACTTGAAATGATTATATATACAAATAATTTAAAATGAGAATTTAAGTTTCTTTGTTTTTTTTTGTGATTAAAATTAATCATAAACGATATCATGGGTACAGAAAAGTACAGTAATCGGGGGATATTAAATTGATTATAAAAATTACATTAATTATCATCACCTGATCCACCGTCCACTGTTAAACGAAAGCTTCCCACAAGCAGCTCCAAGTAAAAAATCATAAACATGACTTAAGTTGTGGGTAGAAATCAGTTTAAAATATAACAAACACATATAATAATCAAAAAATAATACTTACTTTTGTTGCATTTAGAGATACGTAAACTTGAGAGTATGGTATAATAGTCACTTTGTCTACTCTCGCATTATCTGCCAGGATGTAGTAAGCCTCTGGATCCATAGCAGCATTGAACTCTGGCTCAGGAAATGATTCACCTAAAGATTGAGACACCAAAATAACAAATGAATTAGTTCATGGCGAAAATAAGGTAAAGTTTACTGCGAATAATACTCACTGTAAATATGGCCAGCACCAACATACAGTTGTGATAATCTGCCTATGAAGTCAGGATCCATCGTTATGGCCAAAGCAATGTTGGTGAGAGGACCTATCGCCATTATTACAAGGTCACCTAAAATAAAAGTAAAAAAGTGTTTAAACCTACTTATGTACGTTTTATGGGATCCCAAAGTACAACTTAATTTATCGAATTCTACATCTGGAACTAGCTGGCTAGACCCAAAACCTTAGTAAAGCACTGTAGTTTTAAAAAAGCTTTCCATGCTATTATCGCATATATATAGAATTCAAATTAAACACCAACAGCAAGGTCATGTAATTTAGGATAATAATAAAAATGTAGTAAAATAAAGTATTTAATTTGAACTGATACGAAATACTGTCATATCGCTACTTGCAATCTTAGCAACAAAATATATAGTACTACAATAGTAAAAAATATCTAATTTTTATGAAGCTTCAAATAATAATATTTTTATAAAATGTATTGTTTTATTACCTTCATATTTCTTTGATAGGTTAATAAGACCAACTGCAGCATTCACGCTTTCAATTGCTATGGGCTCCATGGCAACGTAGCCGTCATCACCTAATCCATCAAATCCAAAAAAGAAATCTGATTCAATTCCTGAAATTAGAGCATGCTTTGCTCCAGCGTATATGGGAATCTGAAAAGAGTATCTTGTAAGATTATTGTTCTTGGCGCTGCTTATGCTAGGATGTTTTTAATTAAATGTCCTCTAACCTAATCATAGCTTGACCAACCTTGGATGAAGTGAACTCGGATTAGAAGTGGAAGAAGTGTGAGAACGTGGGTACATAGATCAATATTAGGACAAAATATAAAATAGTATATTTTCCAATACGTTAACTATTTACAGCTATAAATAAAAATATGTAATTATGACTGCTGAGTAATATTTAAAACAATCAGTAGCGCTTTAATTAAGCGGTACTTTACAATCCGTGTGAAGAATACGGAGTGTCACCACCCCTGTTCTACCCGTCGGTATCGTAAGTGTCGACTAAGGGAGCAAACTACACAGGACAGCTTACAGCACTGTAAAGAGAAGGAAACCTTGAAACACACGATATCCTCCTTTATAATGAGAGATCTATGTCCAGCAGTGGATTATTAAAGACGGTTGATGATTGATGATGATGATGATGATGATTACTTAAGCTTTTTGGTGACCCTGTCTAGACTGGACGTATGGCTCTCTGATACCTTAGTGTGCTGAGACGCAATTCATTTTTATCACCAGGTACTTGAGGTTACAGGCTACTCTGAATATTGAATCCTAAGTGTTTGTGACTTCTTCTGATGTATATAGATGTAAGGCCGGTTTAAAACCAAGAAAACCAAAATAAACATTTTTTTCAATTTAAAACGGTTAGTGTTGATGACTATTTTTGTCTTAATTATAACCACATTTTCTTGATTTTACCGAGGAATGTATTTGATTGAGTACCTATAAACTGTATAAAGATTTTTTATGTATGGTTACTGATATGTATATACTTAGTGGGTTTAGTTCTAGTTGGTCCGTCCGACCAAGCGTAGGTATTGCCTACCTAAGTTATAAAACTCTATTGATAAGTTAAAAAGTCTGTGTTGGTAAATAAACATTTTTTCATTGTGTTCAATATGTTAAAGGGGGCAGACGAGTAGACAAGTCACCTGATGGAAAGTGACTATCGCCGTCCATGATTTATTTGGGGTTTCAAACGGCAACATTTTATTTAAAGCGTTTTAAATCGGTTGTTTTACATCTATAATGATGTATCTGAAGGGATTTTTGAGTTATAGGTAGGTGTTTTAATCCGAGTTTATCGTCGTCTTACAGCTGGTTACCCAGTATTTATTCTCAAGTGATTCTTATCGTCTCCAGAGGTTAATAGTATGAGTGGAATAATCTGTGCAATTTTTGGATAGTTCTTCCACTTTGGATTCAGATATAATAACCCCTATTGACACAGTGTGTGTAGTTTATTACACTAATCATTGGATAAAAGGGAGACGCAGAAAACGTAACAAAATCTGCATAAATGAATAAAGAAATTACGTGTTTTTTAAAACTTGGTCCCAAATAGAATACAAGTTATCTTCTGCGGTATTCTGCGGTATACGATCTTCAACCCGTCAAGAAAAGAGCTTACTCTGTCCTCATAGGCCGGCAGCGCGCTTCTGACTCCTGAGTTGCAGGCGTCTTTGGGCGGCGATCATCACTTTTCATTAGGTGAACCGTCTGCTCGTTTGCCCCCTCTTTCATAAAAAAAAAGAATACTGGCGGCAAGTAATAACTCATGAACAAAAAAAAATAAAGACGTGTGCTCCAATATTTACTATGAACTTGTATTTAATCGTAACCACGTTAAGATTAAAAGCTATCTTGTCGTGAATTTTTACAAGTTTTACAATTTATAATAATAATAATATTCTACCACATTCACACAACGCCATCTAGTCCCAAACTAAGCAGAGCTTGTACTATGGTTACTAGACAACTGATATAAATACTTATGCACTTTTTTTTTGTAAATACATACATATTACACACAGAAACACCCACACCAAATCAAACATTACATGTTCATGCACACAAATGTTTGACTTGAGCTGGAATTGAACCTGAAAACTTTGTTCCATAATATAATTGTTAATTATCTACTTACATCAGATCTGTTGCATAGCTTAAGTATTCTTGCACTGTTGACAATGGCTTGGCTCTGATTTATATTTCCGTATGTTGTTGTCAGTGCTGCTATTTTAGGTCTGAAATGAAATTGTAATGTTATTATGATGTACCAGTAAAACTATTGCTTCTGTTTAAACCTTAACCTGTTTTAAATGTAATAGTTATAAGTAAATTTACTGTACTTTATGTACTGTACTTTACTGTAAATGATAAAAATATCAACACATCATTTTTTTTTTGTTTTAAAATAAATTTAGCTTTTTTATGTATGCATCATAAATATATTTAAAAACGTAACTAATGTAAACACATTAGTTACATTTTTAAATACATTTTTAAATACATTCTTCTGTAATTGGTTACATTCGCAAGGTTTATTCTCCTTGCGAATGTAACCAATTACAGGAGAGATAAAGGTGTAAGGTAAAGCCGCTAAAAGCTAGAACATTGGGCTAAAACCGCAGTAGTACGAAAATGTTATTGTATGTCCTTTATTTTAGTTAATGGTGTATGGGACAAACGAGCTGATTAGTAATATCACATCAACGGCATTTAGTAGTCCACTCCTGGACATAGGCCTCTTCTTAGAAAGGAGTTTTTGGCCTACTATACAACGTTGGCCAGGCGGGTATAGGGTTTGTTTCAAGCTTTCCTTCTCTTTGCAGTGCTGTTGTCCTGCGTAGTTCGCTCGCTTAGTCGGCTCTTACGACACCCACGGGATGAATAGGGATGGTGAAATTCCGTATTCTTAATCCGTGACCACCATAGCAAATTGCCTAAATATTGTCTTAATGCTTAACATATCTTTATTACTGTTATGCCTATTTAATTATAGTACAAAATAGTTGTATTGTCTTAAGAATTAAATAGGTACTTACCCATTAAAATATTTCTCAAACAATATACTCATAGTTATTGCCAAAGCGTCATCTGCTCCACCATCGTGATCGATCACTAATTTTAATCCTTTTTCAGATGGGTTGGGCCCTGTTTCTGCGTGACAACTGCAAATATGTATTGAAAAGATTTATAATTATAATTAAATAAATTATTCATCATTTTATTCTACATGTTTTTTTTTTTATTTCAAATGTAGTACAAATTTAATAAAACCCAAAACATTCTTGAATATAAAAAGAGTTCGCCGTTGACGACCGCACTAATATGAATTGTGTTACAGACGTCAGCGGCTTCCATCCTGGGTAATTCGTTTATTGATTATAATCAACTACCAACAATTTATAAATGATATTAGTTGTATCATCATCAGCCTATCGCAGTCCACTGCTGGACATAGGCCTCTCCCATAGGTGTATAGAAATTAATTTATAAAGTTAAAGAATAACAAAAGACAAAACAAATAATAACAACAAAAAATGTGAATTAATTACAAATATTCAATTAAGTTACTAAAATGTATAATAAATGAATTTAATCTGTTAGATTAAATACATTAAACAATCATCTCTTTATTGACCACAAGCGGTAGTTTACATGAATTTGTATTTGTATTATTACATGAATTTGTATTGTCTATTTGTGTGTATGTGTGTGTGTGTGTGTGTGTGTGTGTGTGTGTGTGTGTGTGTGTGTGTGTGTGTGTGTCAGTGTTGTGCACGATCGTGAGTATGTTAAATTTAGTTAAGAAAATCGTGAATCAGCAAAGATTAAAATAGTATTTTTTGGTGATACAGGATTTTTGCCACAGTCTCGTAATTTAAACTTTGAGCCAGCCTGTAATGACTGCTTTGAGTTTGCTTGCCGTTAGTGGGTAAATGTTGTTTTCAACATTTGGAGCATTGAATGGAAAATTGCCAAAGACATACTTAGCACTGTCGCCGTGCGAGAGATGTTTTATCGGTGGTTACCAGGTAGATTTTTTTTTATTGCGTTTCGAGATTGGCTTGAAGGTATTGGACTTATGCTTACGAAGTCTAAACGCCATTGCAAAGAGCTGTCTAACAGAACGAGCTGGGCATTCATTATATAGAAACTGTACTGTATCTTCTTGGCTTACCAAATATAATCTTGTGCTGTACACCTCTTTGGGCCCGCTCTGAGAGGAGCAGGTTGGTTGTGCCAGTTCCGCACCATGTCACCATGCAGTTCTGGATTATTCTTAGTGCTAGAGCAAAATATACCATGAGTACAGTGTTTATGTCTGCCGACTGCCTAAGTTTCTTAAATATCAGCATAAGCTTTCTTACTCGGACGAGCATTTATTTATATCCTACTGACAAGTTTAAATGCCTATTAATAATGACACCGAGATATCTATCTGTAAAAAAAAACGCAGTCACCCTGTCCAAGACTGTTCAAGATTATTACCTCCCTAAGTGCAATCTCTCTTTGTATCTGTGAATCTCCTCCCTCCCAGGTGCTTCTATGCACTATCAGTGCAGTGTCATCAGCGTTTGATACAATGCTACAGTTTGGTAGGAGTTTTGTGAAACTATTTATATATACCGAGAAAAGAGAGGGCGATATGACACTGCCTTGTGACAGAAGGATTTAGCATCACTGCCATAACACAACATTCTAATTTTCTGATTATGTTTTTTTTTTCAAACTTGTAAAAACACGCTTTTGTAGCTAGCCGAACTAAAAACTAGGAAATAATTTTAAAAAGAAAAATAATTTTATCGTAAAAAAGCTTGGGGTCGCAATTGTTGTATAAATATTTTACTGACAAATATTGATAATAGTAAAGTTATTTTATTATAAAATACATTATAAAGCACCCACACTTTTTTACGATAAAACGTTTTTTCTTGAACATAGTAAGAAAAATATACTTACTCATTGCGACGAGATAAAAAGAACAAGGTCCACCCAGTCAAGAGAAGAATCAATATTAGTATCGCACCGATGTAGGTGAAAACCTTTTTCGTTGGCGACATCATTTCACTGAATAATGAAGATTTACCCGAAAAGTTTTAAAAAAAGAATTAATTTTTATGGAAATCACTAAATCCTTATCTATAGTATGTAATGTGTGTTTTAAAATAAGAAACCACTATTTAAATCTAATATTAAAAATAATGAATTATTAGTAAATGTTTGACGTATCTCAAATTTCGTAATAAAAAGGCCTTATTCGCATACGATATTTTTCAAGATATGACCCGTCCCCATAGCATGAGACAACTCACGACAACCAACTCAGGAGATACAAGTGCGTTTGCTACTCTATGAGTGCCTTCAGTCAGAATTTGCGTGGGTTGGGGTGGTTATTGGACATCCGTTTATCTACTCGCTCGGTGGAAACCTATGAAAGAATTGTTTTCTGTGAGGCGGTGGCAGGTATCACTCCGAAGCCATTTAACTGGATAAACTCACTCTCAATAAATGGAAAAAAAAAACTACTTTACTCGTCATTATTTTGTAACGTGTAAGCTTAAGATTGTCTCGGTAGAATAATTTGTTATTACATCCAAAAACTTCTACTTATGAATAGAATTATTCAAAATCAGTAATTATTTTGAATCTACGCTACCAATAAAATATATTTTTTTATGTTTCTTCAATATTTTTATCATCTATCTGTCTATTACTGTGTCGTAAACTTCAATATTTACGTGGAGCGATAGCCATCAGACCTCGACAACCTCTAGGCGATCGAAGCGAAGTAACCGGGCCCACCGGTTTAACATTTTTACTATATTATTTAATCAAATAAGTGAGAGAAAACCTCTATGATTTTCCTATCACTAATTCATTTATCTAAAGTTCACATATAATCTTTATAAAAATAAACCTATTTTGTGAGGAATTTACTAATTTAATTTACTTTACCTTATTCAGAAAGAGATAACTTTGGTTTAAATATTTTATTCACCTTACACTGGTAAATTAACTATTAGGTAAGTATCACATTCACTGTAGCTAACACCTGTTTTACATCAGTTTTATTTCTCATTTAAATCTAAAACTCAAGTGTAGAATGTCTACACTCGACAAAGAGTGCTATTAGATTACGCGATAACAAATACAAAATGAACTTTATCATTTCTTTGCTGAAGATGGTAATCCTGTTGTATGCTGAGACATTCACATGTTTGATTATGTAGTATATAATAATGATAATAATAATAATTTTTAGACATGCCTTACTATAGTAACCAGACTTTCTTGAGAGTCAGTTGTAAGTTGGAAGTCTCGGTGGAAACACAAAAAAAAAGACGCTTCCAAATGCTCATGAGTCATTAATGTTAGTAAAGTAACTTTTATTTTATTTTTAAATGAATCACGTTCGAACTTCCACAACCAGGAAATCTATTATCTATCTATTAAAAATATGTGTTATTATAAATTTTATTGCAAAAAAACCTTTATTTTAATATATGATTGAATTACATTTTTAAGTGAGAATAACATTTTCTGAAAAGAATCTGAAGGCCAATTCTCGTAATAAAAGTTCGGTCACAATTCAGCTCCGGTTAAATTTCGATCCCACAACTGCCATAAAAGGTATTTTCGTATCAAAATAATTAAGTATTACCAAGACTAGTAGATTAACAATTCAATCCTTGATCATAATACGATATAATCACGTTACAGTCAATGTTGGATCTTTTACACTTTACTACAAAAATACATTTTATGACAGTTATGAGATCGAAAGTTGATCGGAACTGAATTGAGACCGAACTTTATAACGAGATTTGGCCTTCTGGTCGTGTTGAAAAACGGTAAAAGTCCAGGGTCCTGTAATTGATGCATTGGGTAAAGCATCGTGGCGTAAAAGGTTTATATACTGTTTCACATGAGAATCATGATAGCAAGCTACTTGATGTTGAATTAGGGCTCGATTACAAACATGAATATTTTATAAAATCTATTCGTAACTCTAAACTTAAATTAAAAATGGTTCTAGCGCCATCTTTTGTCTGTGTCTTGTACAACGCAGAAAGTTTGACATATCTCTTGACGCCAAACTTAGTTTTATAATTCTAACAGTGTTATTGATTTACGTCAGAATTAATAGAGGGCGTTTTAGTAAAAAAAATTGCATAGTATCATCCTCACAATCTGACATTGCAGTCTATCATCCTAAACTCTTGTTTACACGTTGACAGGAATACTGCAAAGGTCACCTGGATACTCTTTTTATCCAATAGATTGTTGAGTTCAAATAGATCACATTTCTATTTCTAGGACAAAATATTATTACCTTCCTAAACATCTCTCTCTAGACTGAAACTAAACTATCTGTTTTAGAAGACATATAAAATAATAATGTATGTATACATATTATAGGTACACAGAAACACCAAGATTTTATTTATTCCCAGTGGTTTCATGAAGCCTGCTCCACATGGTACTGATTTAACCTTATAATTTGCGATTTTGTCCCATTTGTTCCACGTAACTTTTACTGCTGACATTTTTTTTTCTAAAAAACAAAAGCAAGTCTAGGATAACTGCGGAACGTCAGTAATACAAATCATTATCTATACATATAATGAAACTGCAAGGAAGATGATATTGTCCATAGAAAAGAAATAAAAAGAAATGGCACAAGGGGTCTTCGTAGACGTAGTAGGTGTCAAAAAATGATATCTAAAATTCTTGTCTGTCTATCATCTGTTTATGTATTGTGTCTTTTGTGCACGTAAAATCCACGTAATTTAACTTTGGATTAAGGTTAACCATAGTCCTGGGTGACACATAGAGGACAATTTATCACGCTGTTACTCAAAGGAAAAACGTCGGTATTTCAGCTACTATTGATATGAACCTAGATCAAAATATTCTATTGAAAATGGTTTGTTTGTAGCCTAACAAAAATATAGGTTCTCATGGAACAACTGGGAATAATTTTCCGCTTCAATTAGCTATCCAACTAGTCCATCCAACTAGTTCCATGTATGGAACTAGTTGGATGTATGGAACTATTCCCATTAGTTAGATGTATGGAACTTGTTGGAATAGTTATTCTAGTTCCAAATATGGGACTAGTGGGTTACAAAAGTTCTATGTGGAAATGGGTTTATGGAACTACCAGGAATAAATCCAAGATTTATCCTTACCAGTATTCACACTATACCGTAGAGATTCAAAGCCCAGGCGTGGCCGTAGAATGCACTTCCATTGCGTCTGAGAAGTTGTCAATATAAATAGAACACTATGTTGAACACACACACAAGAGCTTGGATTTACTAACTTTTAAACTTTCGCGTTCCATAATAATTAATATTATTTAACGGGAATTAACGCGATCTCTTATTTAGGGTATTACATACCTCTGGTTTGCCTGACGTTTCGACCAGGTTGCACCGGCCGTGGTCATAGCCTAAATTAGAGATCGCGTTAATTCCCGTTAAATAATATTAATTAGCTTGGATTTAGTTTATGTCATAGTTTAGTCTTATAAAAAATAAATAATAAAAACTTTGGCTTAAAATTTGTCAACAATCATCATCATAGTCAACAGCCACTTTAATTTACGGTTTTGATCGTATTGAGTTTTATGTCAAACTATATCAATCTACCTTCTAATTATTAATAATAATTTTATTGGTGTAAAATATGGTACAAAAGCGTGGTATGCAAAATAGATTCGATGTACATTTCGCCAGATGTGTGTGTGGAAATAAAAGCTTAATACTTTAACAGACAATTAATGATTCTAAATGTAAATTAATATTAAACGATTTTATGATATTTTTTAATGATATAAAAAAAAAGTTTGTTACATCGTTCGTAATCTAAAACGGTAGGATTGTCACTTTGAACAAAAACTATCACAAGTTTTTGACAAATTCTAAAGTACAATCAAAAACTAAAAACATTGTCGTTTTTAGTTTATGTTTGTTCTCCTCAAAAAGATGTTGTCAGTTATTAATTTCTATTATATTATTTCACTTAATTTTATGGTATAAGGGCAATAACAAAAGTGAATATAATGTATGTATATAATATGGAACATTCTACTTATAAGTGGGCAGAGACAGCCTACCACTTGCTGCTATTACCACATACCTCACTAGCCCTCTAAAAAGTATTTAAACATTTTATAAGAACACGTACAATAAAGATAAAATATTTTCAAAAATAGAAAAAAAAAATATGCATTAGTTTACGAAGCAATAGTTCTGTTCTGTACACAAACCATTTCGAGAATTTTTCAGACCCAACCTCCAATTCAGAATCAAATTAAATTATTAAAATTTATTTTAGTATAAGGCGTTAAGGTCCTCTTATACATTATTATATTTTTAGAAATGATTTATTGACTGACAAAACCATTAGGAATTGATTTCTCAGCCTCTAAATTACACCAAAATTTGAAACATTTAATACTGATATAATAGTAGGACCGTTGACCACTATGGCAGAGTCATTCTTCCGCACAGATGGGCCAGGCTTGACCGGAGTTATCATCCGGTTGTTTCTGTGAAGCCGTGGTGTCCCACAGACACACACTGACACACACGGAAAACCGACGTAAAGTAACGTAATAATTGCTACCGGGTGAATGAGGTTATTGAAACCCAAACCCTCTCCTTCTGATTCTGGGTGGAGGGGATACAAAGGCGGATAACGTAGTTGTGACTCTTGAGTGGCAGGTATTTTTTGTTGAAGTAAAATGTTCTTTAGGCGCGTTGGTCATTTTTTGAGAATGGAAAAAACAATTTAACTCGTGGTACTGTTACCGTTACCGACTCCTCTTCTGTCGACACTCCCAGTGCCACTGTTTTTTTAAGTGAAAACTTCTTTAGGAGCGTTGGGCATTTTTGAACAACAAACAAAAGAATTTATATTTTGAGATGGGAAAAAACCGATGAACTCACGAACCTGTTACCGTTACCGACACCTCTGTGTATATAAGTATCTACATATATTGGCCCCGTTTACACGAGTTTGGGTTGAATTACATTGGTAATATAACTGTATA